GGCCCGCCGCTCAGCAGCTGACCCCAGAATTATCCTCCACGGAGGGATAAGGATTCACACAGGGCAAGTGCTGGGCCGTTGTTCAGGCAGGGGGGATGGACACCGGGCACAGACTGGGCTGCGGCAGGAGCGTGCTGGGGACCCCAGGAAGGTGCCTCAGGCCTCAGCTGGGGATAAAGGGAGACTTTGGGGCAGGGCGGGTGGGAGTGAGGCTGTCCCCACCACGGGTCCACTTCACTCGTCTGAATTTAACTCCTCTCTCTCTCAGGGCAAATGGCACAGCAGGTGCAGGCAAGGAGCAAGGAGCCGCCTCCGCAGCCTTCTTCACTTTTGTTTACTGACTTAATTCCTTCAGATCAAAGGCTGCCCCTTCCTCCCCTAGCAGGCAGGCTGGGGAATTACATTATTTATATTGGAAATGGGCAAGACTCCACGGGGACTTCTTCCTTATGCCTGTTAAGATAAAATTAGGTCGCTGCTGTGCCTCCCAGGTGTCCGTGGCTGGGTTTGCACGGCCCAGGTATCCACAGGCTCTGGGAAGAGTTCCAGGTGCAGGGCCCAGCGCTACCCACCCAGCTCCTCTCCTACCTGGAGCCTCCAGTAAATTATTGACCGGAGCATCAAGTATTAATGTGACAAAGCAGAACATCCTTCCCGGGCAGCCCCGGCCTGGGTTATCTATCATCTCCGGGCTTTGCAGCTGGCACTGGGCAAACACCACCAGGACAAACAGGCCCGATGCAGGTTCATTAAGCTCCCGGTGCAGGTGGAGGGATGGGGCCCGTGGGGGTGGGGTGCACTGGTGGGCTTGGTCCCTCTGAGCCAGGGCTTCCTCTGGGTCATTACTTCTCTCCCTGCTTCCTCCTGTACCCCTCCACCCCCACCCTGAGGAAGAAGAATCTGGAAAAAGAGCTACCCTCCTCAGACCTGGCACTATTAATCCCCACAAAACTCTGCTTTTAGATGAAGAAATGCTGAGCCCAAAGGTTAGGTAACTTGCTTGGTATCCAGGATCACCCAGCTGGCAAATGGCTGAGTGGGTTTTGAACCCTGGTCTTTCTGAGTTCCAAGTCAGTTAGGGTCCTGAACCCTTCAGCTACATAGTTTCCTGAGCCCTCCCCCATGGCTGGGTGTAAAGAAAAGATTTCATGTTTCTTGGTGCATGTTGCTTCTATTCCTGGTAAATAATGGTAACACTGCTACCTATCCTCACCCCTTCTTTCGTAGAAATCGGAGTACCTTGTTGCATCTGTTCTTGCTGTCATCCTGGCAACATCCCAGATGTGCCCCGAGACGTCACTGTCAACCCTCTTCACAGAGAGGGAAGCAGGTTTCGGCAAGCAGAGTGTCTGGCCCTGCAGGGAAGGGGGTGGCACAGAGCGAGCGTGCGGCTTAGCAGACTGGCCAGGCGGGCTCTTGCTGCTCCGACTTGGGAGCTCTTCTGGAGATGTCTTGATTTCCTAGGCTCAGAGGCAACATGCCAGGAGCTATTCCAGGGCTAACATCCCCGTGAGAAATGGGCATCTAGTGGAAACTGGGAGAGGACGCAGTGGGGGTTCCTCTGAGTCATGCCGTCCGCATGGTGCTGATGAACAGCCCGAGCTGCCTCCCCGTACGAGAGCTCCAGGGTCCTGCCCAAGCTGGGCCGGAGGCTGCAGCATCCTGCCATAATGCAGCAACGACAGGCTGCCAGGGAGCCCCAGGAGAGGACAGGACCCCGTGAAGCCTCTCTCAGCTGCCCGGGCTGTCTGAGAGGGGGCAGAGACTATGCAGATGGCTCGACTTTCTCTTCCCCAGACATGCAAGAAATTGGATGACACCGTTGCAGCAGTCCCCTCACCAATACCTTTCCCCCAGAGTCCTGCTGCCAGCTCATCGTTCTACGTGGGCGGCTCCCCATCCACTGCTCTGAAGCAAAGCCTTCCGGGGTGGGCAGCCCTGACGGCCACCAGGCACTTGGTGCTCAGGCGAGGACCAAAGGCAAAGGACCCAGTGCTGGGAGGGATCCCACCGGACCAGGCTGCAAACGCCACAGCCACAACCAAGCACTGAGGGCTGGCCAGCATCTTTGGGTTTATAGCACAGTCAAAACAAACTTGGAAAAAAAAAAAAAGAAAACAAAAGAAAAAGAAAAAAGCAGAGTAGACCTCAACCAGTCTCCCCCACGCCAACGTGCCAGGCAGTATTATTAATTCTCACTCTACTTAACAGAGACCTCTGGGTCTGCGTGAGCGCTCGCTGCCTTTTGGGGGTTGGCGGCTGGCTTCAAAGAAGTCAGGTGAAGACCCTGTTGGGGCAGCTTCAAATAGCCAGTATTTAGGAAGTGCTCTCTCTGGCTCACCCTGCAGAGGAAAGCAAACTGCTTCTAGTCACTGAAGACAACATATTCTGTGTTTAAGAAATGAAGTAGTTTCATGTTGTTACTGATCTAATAAAAATGCTCTAATGAGTTACTAATTCTATACATTTAAAATGATGAAATGTTGTTACCACCAGCTCTGCAGCAGCAGCTCTTAATTCTAAGTACAAATGGCCAGTAGTCCTGTGATGATAGCCAAGCGTGGCCCGACCTGCAGACAGTGCTGGGACCCCAGTGGCCCAGCACAGCACCCCCTCCCGCCTCCAGAGCCTGGAGGGGGACACCCAGAAGCAGAAGCCTCTGGGGGGAATGGCCTGCTCCAACACCCTCGTTTTCAGGTCTGGAACTGAGGACTGGCAGCAGGTATGGAAAGAAAACATCGGCAGTGTGACCTGGTCCAAGGCCCCTCCCATGACTCTGAGCGCCCCCCAGGAAGAGGGAAGGGAGTCCCCAGGAAGGGGGGCTGTCGTCAGCCAGGGAAAGGCAATCCTTTTACTACAAAAATGTGAGGCTGGAGGTGAAGTCCTGGGCCGGCAGGGAGGGCAGAACCCCGTTTCCTCAAAACCCAAGAGGCAGCCCCATCGCTCAGCCCAATAGCCTTGCCACCTCAATAGCCTGAGCAACAAGCAAGCTGAGGAAGCCCAAGACAAACTTTTTACAGCTTAGAATTTTTATTAAAACAATCATTTAAATTACAACAATCCCCCAAAACAGAAAAGAGCATTCCAGGGTCTGGCCCCGACAGGAGGCAAAAACTCAGGCCCCACAGGAAGAGGTGGGGCTGGATGTGTTTGAAAAGGGATGGGGCTTCCCTGGACGCCCATGGCCTGGCCCCAGGGGCTGCGAAGCTGCAGCTGGGGCAGCGAGCAACACTTAGTCACCGTCCATGGCTGTCAGCCTCTGGACCTGCAGTTTTCATTTGAAAGACAGGGGAAGAGAGAGAGAGAGAGAGCTGCCCCCAGGATTACAAAACAGTCACTCAGGAGGCGTTATGTAATTCCGTGGGTGTTGTCCAGCGGGCCCGGTGGGCACGTGAGTAATCAGGGCAGTACTGCTGGTCGGAGCGTCTCGGGGGCTGAGGTGGGGGCCACCCCGGCAGGGATGACCGAGGCACCCTGGGTGGAGCAGTCAAGTGCTGACAGCGCAGCCTCTTGGAGCAGCACAGCTGGGCAGCGACGTTGTGAACGGTGCATCTGCCCGAGAACCCTCAGAAGAGCTTGTAATGTAATAATTGTGGCCGGGGCCCTGCTGTCAATGGAAGTGGGAGGCTTCCTTACTTGATGGGCTTCCAGCCCTAAAAATGTTCACTTAAAAAGGACACAGGCACAAGTGTCTGAAAACCTGCCTCCACTTTTATCCCCTCCTCCCGCTGCAGCTAGAGCCCTGGCTGAAGGCCCCACCCTCTCCGCCCACCCATCTTCGGGAGACTCCCACCTGCCCTCACCTCCGAGGAGGGCCGGGTGCTCCAGGCTGGGCCTCCAGGCCTCCGCAGCCCCTGCCACAGCCCAGACACTGGCCAGCTCCCTCGTGGCCACACAGCTTGGCATTTCCCAGACTTCAGACATACACACGGCGGTTAAATAATAATTTTTAAAAAGCCTGACAGCTTTTTATATGTTTTTATAAACCACCACCATGCTCCTGTGCCCACAGCCAATGTTATGGATTGAATTTACAGGTCGGGAGGAAAGTAATGCTCGTGGAAATTCAAGGAGGGGTGGTGAGCCCGAGGAGACAGAGCCTCAGCATAAGGGCCAGACCTTATGTTACAAACGAGGACCCCCTCGCCTCTGGGGTCGAGGGCTTTGAGGGACAGGGAGACACAAAGGAACTTGTTCATCCATAGCCACCCACACTTAGTGTTCTGCTGCGGAGTCCCAGTCTGTGGGTCCTGAGGGGCTGGAGAGACACACAGAGCTGGCTTCCTTGGGGCAAGGTGGGCCGTGCAGATGGCAGCCAGCCCAGGACACTGTTGGGTCAGCCTGACAAGAGCACAAGGCAGGATCGCTGTGAGCGTCTTGGTTTCTCAAACCCCACAGGGCTGCCAGAGACCACTTGTGTGCTCGGACTCTCTCGGCCCCCACGTGTCTTCATTAGTAAGCGCCTCTACACTGGGTAAGGCTTATCTCCTGCTCTATGGAGCCCCCGGTCACGGTCAGGGAGGGGCTACAGGGCACTGACTAGAGCACAGCCAGAGAGTCCCCCACTTGCCCCTCGGACCCTGGTTTGGGGGGGCAGGAGGAGGGGCAGCGCGCGTTCTGTAGGGTGCAGATTCCTACATGGCTACCTGGCCTCCCGGCACTTCTGCTGGCAGCTGGCCCATCACCGCGGATTCTGCCGTCTTCGCCCCGCTGCGGCGGCCTTTCCACTCCCAACCACTGGCAGCCAGAGTGCAGCCGTAGCGGTGCCTGGGCTGCAGGTAGGCCATGCTTCTTAAAAGGCCAGTTCCTCACCAGTGGAGGAAACGAATATTCTGGAAACCAGGGGTGGGGGTGGTGGCACCAGCCTCCTGGCCTCTGGGGACCTGTGCACTTGGCTCCTGACAGCCACCTCCCAGCCTGGGCTGGGAGGTCAGCACTGGACAATAAGGCACACACCCCAGGGTGCCTCTGATCAAGGAAGTAAGGGGTCACACAGCAGACGAGAAAACACAAATACTTCTTAAGGAACTGAGAGACTCAGGTCAGGAGGACGAGCACCCTCTGAGGGAAGTCTCTGCAGGGCACAGTTCAAGGCAATTGCACGTGAAGGGGGTTGGGCTCTCCACTCAGCCAGGGGCAGTCCCGGAGCTCCTGCGGCAGCTCCCAGCCAGCCCACCAGCAGTGGCTCCCACGGTGGCTGACCCGTCTTGCCGGAGCAGCAGAAGTGGTAGATCCTGGGCTGGCAGTGTCACCTGCTAGAGCTCCTCGAAGAAGGCAACTCGGGACTTGGCGCTCTGCAAAGTGAGCTGCAAGGAAGCAGAGGAGAAGTGAAAGGGGGACTGATTTCCGCTCCTCACTACAGGAAGCCATTCTGCCTTGTGAACTGACCTCAAAGGCGGTTTGCAGGGGAAGGGAAGGTGGTTCAAATACATGTTCAAGGAGCCGGTGGTCAATCCCAAATAAGATTCCAGATTTGCCCGAGAACTCAAATTAGGAGGTGACAAATGAGGACATGCCGGGAGAACTAGCTGGTGGGCAGAAGCATGTCAGGAGGAGGATGTCATCAATGTCACCTTTTCAGAGGTCCCTAGTCATTTCAGTAGAGGCACAGGTCCCCGTCTACAAGTCTCTCTGGGGCCCTAGGTTGCGTGTCTGGTGGTGCCAGCTGGGGATGCTCACACTCCCCAGGGCTCGGCATCTCAGTCCTCACATCCTGGGGACCAGCTGGGGCAAGGAGACATGGCCTCCAGCAAGGTGGACCTACAACAGATGAGGAAGAGCTTGTCCCTTCCATTCCTGGTTCCCAGGTGGCCCCAAAGCAGACTTGCCCACGACCTGGCTGCTGAGAGGGGTTGCCACACACAAGCTGGGAGGCATGGGCTCTCAGGTGGGGCTGTTCAGGCAGAGAGGACAGTGCACACTGGGCGGTGCTCTGCCAGATGCTGGAAAAGCCTCCCCAGGAGCGAGGTCTCCGTGTGGCGGGGAAGGTACTAGAGTTTGTGCCGCTGAGCCCCAGTCCCCTGCCTCTGTAGGCCACTTCCCAGGATCTCCCCAGACAGAAGCGTCTGGCACTGGCAGCACCCCCCGCGCCCCCCATGCCCTGCTTCCTGCTCTGCGCCCCCCATGCCCTGCTTCCTGCTCTGCTCCTGGAACCGACTCCTCGGGCAAGACTGTGTGTTCTGCTCTGGGTCTCCTCAGGAGAGAGTTTTCAGGGAGGGAGGGAGGGAGGACGCGGGACGCATGCTGTCCATCTTTATATGCCCCAAACCCCATACATTACGTTAGTGCTTTGCATCTAGTAGGAACTCAAACAGCGTTTGAGTGAATAAGATGTAGGCTCTAAGGATAAGGAAAGGAGAGACGCATGGGAAAGCTGAGCGCTCCACGTGGGGCTGAGAATGCCCGGCCGCGAACTACCCATTGTTACCAGCTCACTGTGTGGCCTCAGTGGACACTCTTGACCTGTGTGAGCCTCTTTCTTCTGCAGTTAAACCACAGGGGCAGGCTAGATGGTCTGGGCCCTTGACCTCTGCGAATCCAAAAAGGCCTTAGTACCATCTGTGGCTCTCCGAAGGGTGGGGGAGGAAGGTGCCAAGTCAGCCACTTCACCATCACAGACAGGCAGCATCAGTGTGCTCTACAGAGACAGCTTGAGAGCTGGCTCTTTAAATCCTGCCAAATCTTTTGGCCTTGAAGTTCCTGACTAACAAGCTGCACACGATGGGGAGTGGGGCTGGGGGGGAGGGTATCTGAGCTGTTTTCTTCAGTGGGACCAATTTCAGAAGCGCTTTGGAAAGCCCAGCTCTGATGGGAATGGAGAGAGTTTTCATTTCTTTGCTGAAAAAGAACTCCCTCTAGAAGGAAGCTGTGTTTGGATGAGTTTCTCCCAAAATGCCATCAGAGGAGAAGGGCCAGGAGGTGTGTGCTCAGGAATCACGGGAACCGGGATGGTAACTGGGAAAAGAAAGACAACCAGAGAACTGCGGGGACAAAAATCCTTTTGTGGGAGAGCTTAAATCAAAAGGTGTAACACCCCAAGTCTCTGCTCGGGTTTCTCCCACGCTCCCGGAGAAGACCTAGGGCTGGCTCCTTGGGGACAGGGGCCCTGCAGGAAACAGGGACCTACCCCCAACCCTTCCACACAGCCACAGCCAGACTGCCTGACCCAAAGCTGCCTGGGCCACTGACCAGCTGGGTGGCCCTGGGCGGGCTGCTCGTTCTGGCCTCAGTTCCCCACCCAAAAGCAGAGGTGGTGGCAGCCCCTTCCTCACAGGGTGGAGTGTGGAGTGACTGGGAAGTGCCATAAGTGCTCAGCAAGCCCGCCGCGCTAGAACTCAGCAGCTGTTATTACTAATAGCGGCGTAACGTCTCTGCCCCTTCCCCCAGCTCTGGCTCCTCTCCTCCTAGCGGGGGCCCGGGGCAGAGTGTGGTTAAAAGGTGCCGGCGAAGGCAGGGCTCCCTGGCCTTTGTGGCCTCTGAGGCCAGGCCACTGGATGCCCCCAAGAGGCCTGGCCACTTCCCCAGGCAGGGAGCCCAGGCTGTGGGGGCCTCCGCAAGCTTTCTGCCCATTTGTACAATGTTGGCTCCAAGAATTCCTGGATCCTCTACCCAAGTTGCATGCTGGCTGTCCCCACAAGGTGCCAGGGGAAGGTTTTGGCAGCTCCGGCAGTGCCAAATTCCAATGACTTGAGCACATATTTGTTGGGATGCGAAGCCCTCTCTGGGTGGGCAGGACGCGTCCCCCACCCCCAGCCCACACCGCATAGGGGTGGCTGAGCCTGACTGACCTCTTCTCTTGCGAGGGCAAGAAGTTGCAGAAGTTCCAGCCCCAGGAAGGAATAGAGCAAAGTCAAGTACTCTGGCCATCAGATGCAGGAAGGCACCGCAGACACATGGCTTTGGAAACAGGAGCATGTTGTCTTCCCAAATGCACTAGACTAGAGGGACAGGCAAAGCCACTGGGCAGGGGCGCCTGACGTGGCTGCTGTCCCTGAGGGCACTGGGAGCGGCCCACAGAGACCGGGCTGCCACTGCTCCCCCGCCCCGCCTTCCTGTACAATTCCATCAGGAATCCTGTCCCCAGGGGAAAGCAGCATGTGAGCTGCCTGCTGCTGCTGGAACCCTTCCAGTCGCCACCTCGGCCTCTGCCTCCTTGCACCTCGGCAGCACCCTTTCTTTATCTTAGGCATTAAAATGTCCTCCTCTTGAAAGCCAGCCAGCACTCTCTGCGTCTTACACAGGAGGGCATGGCTGGTGTTTGACAGCAGGTGAGGGACGGTCGGCAAGAGGCAGCCTGGGCTTTTGTTCTCCAGGTGGGGACACTCAGGCCCAGGGGCAGGGGGGTCTTCCAAGGAGAGCTCAGGAGACCTCCCTGTGGGCGCCACTGCCTGCCTGCCAGCTGGGCTCTGGCTTCCGCTCAGCCGCCCACCTTCGCTGGGCGCATTCTGCTCACCTGTGGGATCCTTTACCACCTGCTCTTTCTAGAAAGCTCACTGACTGTAACATTTACAGTAGAGCTACAGGCGGGAGGTATTCATACCCGCCTGTAGGGGAAGGCCCAGGGACAATGGCACCCAGCTAGTTATAAACTGTCTCTGCGGGCCTCCTCTGGACACCCGTGAACACAGGCTGACAAGCATCTGGTTTGTCCACCAGACCTCACATGGTTAGGTGTACAAGCCCACATCGGTATTTGGTCCACCTCCGGGCTCAGGGACAGCACACAGAGGTACGGCACACAATCTGGGCCCTCACCTCCGGGATGTCACACTGGAAGAACTGAAGCCAGTCTCGTGCATCCCACCCACAGCCCTGCGTGTGTTTCCTTTGGTGATTCAGTAGCACCGTTCCATGCCCCTCGGCCAGACCCACGGAGGTGGGGGCGTGGCACCTCCAGGACGGCAAGGAATTCTCCAAGTGCAGGGGCTGGGGCGCCACGAGCACGCTGCCATGGCGGTTCTCCATGGCTGTCCAGGAGAAGGTCTCCGACATTTCAGCAGGTGGGGAAACGCAAAGCCTCAGGAAGCAGGGCCTGGCGGACAATGGCTGTGCCGTCCGGGGACCCGTTGAATCTGGCCTGCCTTCTTAAACCCTCCTGAGGACAAGTGCCAGACTGCGTCTGCCATCCACCGTCCAAAACTCACACTGAATCCGGACAAGGGCCAACCGCCTCCTTTGGGGAGCGATGGACACACGGGCCCTGTGCAAAGCCCCAGTCCCAGGGCTCTTGCCAGCTCCCTCCCAGCAACTAAAAGAACACAAAGTTTCCCCACCAAACACTGGGCTGCCCCGCTTTTCTCCTCCAGTTGTCTCTTTACATCTGATTAAAATAAGCCGTGTGAATAATACAGGAGGAATTAAGTTCTCTCTTGACTGAACCGGCTGTTCAAGTCTGTCACTAATCCAATTTCATTCCGAGGAGACAAACTTTTTTTCTTTGCTACAGGTCTGTACGACTTGGTTTTTATCTTACGGGGGCTCTGGCCCACCTGTTGGGCCTGGCCTTCCCTTCCTGCCCGGTACCGACAGGCACAGGTCTGGCAGATTCACCTTTCCTCCAGCTCACTTCTCCATCCAGCGGCCAGTTGTTGGTGACAGTCACTAGGCAGTGCAAGGGCAGGAGGGGGAGCTGCTTGGCAGAACCAGACCTCCTCACGCTTACCAAACTTTGTGTGGTGTGACCGAACAGACGCATCCAATCTAAACAAGCTCAGCTTCGGGAGACACATCTGTCTCCTTAGAAAGGAGGAGGGTGCCCCCTCCCCTCTAGCCTAGGAGGGCCCGGTACCCAGCAGGCTCTGCGTTACACAGGCTCGCAGGAAGCAGGCAGACTCCTTGGGGACCTCCGGCAGCCCATCAAGACACAAGGATCTGACACCTGCCTGCTCCTGAGAAATGGCCCCAGGGTCTAGAGACAGCAGGCCTGGAGGGTGCCTGTGACAAGCGGCAGGCTCACCAGTCCCTCCCAGCCCACCCCCCACCCCTAGCTGCAAAGTCTCCTCCACCATCGGTACCAAGACTGCCTCCTGCTGGGAAGACAAGCAGGGGGGGTGGGGAGGTGCATTGCCAACTCTTGCCCCCAAGCTCTGCTCTACAAGTCCTTTTGCGGGGTCTGTTGCCCACAATGATGGGAGAGAACTAAATATATTTGGGCCCAGAGCCTGCAGCGGCGAAGGCTGCTTGATTAAGAATGAATTACACTTTCATCAGCACATACAGAAACTGATTCACAGGGCCTCACTGTGATAATCCGGTTCCTCATGCAAAAGGGGGTGGGGTGTGGGGGGGGCAGGATGAAGAGCCTGTTTGGACTATCAATGCTGAGAGAAAGGAAGCTCTACAATTAAACTGGGAGAACAAAACTAATCAGGATTCCTCCGACCGGTCTCTGGGGGGGCCTCGCCTCCATCCATTCATCCCCAGGGAGGACAAAGGAAGGTGGGAGGGGGCTTTAATTCATTTGAAACAATAAGACCCACAATGCTGAACCCATTTTAGATACTAACCTAATAATTCCAGGCGCTGAGATTCTGCTTGTCCCATTAAAAAAAAATGCAGTGAAATTGAAATGCAAGCCCGAAACTCATGTAGTGCTTCCTCTCCACCACCGCATATGTATTGAAAATGAAGGCGGGGGGAGGGGGAGGATACAAAATAAATAAATAAATAAAACATCACAGATCCATCAGGTGAAAGCTGACTCTGGAGCAGAAGTTGACAGGCAAATCCAGCAGCAGCAAATTCCAGCACACTCTTTGGTTTGGGGTGCCATAAACATACCCCTTCCAAAGGCAAGCTGAGGGGGCAGGGCTCGTGGAGGCGGGGAGCCGCTGCCAACTGGCCAGGTTAAGCCTCCCTGCCGTCTCTCCAGTGACAGCGTGCACCCAAATGCCATCTGGGGGTGTGCACGGGGACAGAGCTATGCCTACACTTATCTTGAAGCAGAGGTGGGATGAAAGGCCAAGTCCATTCCAATGAACAAATCCAATTTGGTATTAGTTACTTTATCTGCTCTAGAGAGAAATCTGCCAGGGAACACCTAGAGGGTCCCTTTTGTGTGTTAATCCTTTAGGGACCTAAAGCAGCAAAAAGGTGCCTAGAACCGGGTGCCAGCCCCAGTGATGCTGGCAGGACCTCTGGCTATTCCGTTCTCCACCAGGAAAGCAGCAGACAAATCTGCCTGATTCACCTCACTGGGCTGGGGGAGGCTAGCTGATAGCTACCGGCACGCTGAGTGAGTACCGTGGAAAGATGATGCAGATATACTGATGTCATCCTCAAATTGCCAATATCAGGAAGGAGATCACGGCGAGGATCATGAGAACAGAACCTGGAGCCCGCAGAATGAGTTTGCATCCGCTCTCCTCCCTCCCCCTGTTGCAGCAACAAATCAGGTGCCGGAGGAAAGCTGCACCGAAACACATCCTCAGTGCTGAGGGACTAAACAGGGTGTTTTACTGCATCAAATAAGGCCCCGTAATGTCCTCAGGCACTAAATGGCTGTAAGATATCCTAGGAGGGCCAGGCAGAATTTAAAAGCTCTTCGATGCCTCCCAAAGGGCAACTGCTTGAGTGGGTAAAACTACCAGCCGAAAAGGGACTGGGTCGTGATGTTTTACAAAAGAGAATCTTCTATCTCAACAGCTACCGGCGACAAGCCAGAACACCATAGGCACTCAACAGTTAAGAGGCACCTGGACACTTAGTGTGTACGAATGTGAGGTAAGAGTGGCCTTCAGGGGTGAGTCCGGGTGTCCTAGGCAGGAGGGTCCCACCCCCTGAGACCAGCCCCCGCCTCCCAGTGCCTCCCCTGGCCCTCCCACGGAGCCAGGACACGTCCAGATTGCCACTGCTGTCTTATCTACATTAGCTGGTGCCGAGATGCTCCTCGCTAAGCCTCGCTCCCTACCCGACTCCCTTCCCCTTTTCTTCTCCTCCTCCCTCCCCGCTCTGCGGTGTTCCAGCAACGCACAGGGAAGGTTCTGGAGCAGGGCAGCCAGTGCGCTGCCTTTTATGTCAGGGCAGAGGATGCTCCAGGAGATAACGACCAGTTTCCAAAGCAGACAGAGCCACCGGGCTCCCGTGACCGGGGTCAGGGGGAGCTGCAGACGTTAACCACACATGCGGCACGAACTGTTTAGTGGCCTTCTTCCGGGAAGATGATGCAGCCCAGAGGTCACCAGGGAGGCTCTGGCCGTTAGCTTTAATTGAGGGAGACGCCTTTCATGCGTATTGGATCTCGCCCTGTGATTTATCACTTCTCCGGGTGTGTTAAGTGTTCTACCTCACTTCACTAGCTCTGCATCTCCAAGGGAAGTCCGTGCAAATTGAAGATGATACTGGGCTTTTGTGTCCTCCTGATCCAAGAGAGGCAACAGCCTCCCGTAAATGTCAAAGCTTCCTGTTTCTCCATGGGCAGAAACCACAGCTGGACCTTGATGGGGCAGACCATTTACTAATGAAATAAGCTTTTTAAGCTCTATGACCCCTGAGATTTCTCGTCTGTCGATTTCCTTGGGAATCCTATGCTCCCTCGGAGACCAAGGGCACGCAAGCAATAATGACCTTGCTGGCCTCCAGACCAGCTCAGGACTGGGGAGCGAAACCTGTGCCCCGAGAAGGGGTGGAAGCAGGGCCCTGAGCATGTGCACCCCAGGACTGCACTTTCACCTCCAAAGTGTGCTGCGCGGCTTGGTCACAGCTGGCCACTGCTCCCCTCGTCAGCACTGTGGCTCTGAAGGCAAGAAGCTCAAGCACATGACACCTGCGTCCCCCTCACCCCAGCCTCACTGCTGGACCTCACCCTTTCACTCCAAGGGCTGAGATGCCAGGAACATGTGTGGCTATCAATCCCCACCCCCTACCAATCAATGCCCACCCCCATCCCCAGGAAAGGAATCTAGGTTCCCGAGGGTGGCTTTTGATCTTGATCCAAGATGCCACTCTGATTCAGATGGCAAATGCCAAACAAGTTACCCCAATTATCAACTGGAGCAAAGTGGAAATGTAGCAGACACAACCCTGGCACTGGTAGGTGGCTGGTCATCATCAGTCCTGGCCCCAGGGATCGCCACAGTCTAAAAAACGGAAAGGATGTCAATTCCATGTACAGCAAAACTCCCACCACTTAATCTAGTGATGTGGAGGTAACTTCAGTTGTATTAAAAGCCAAGTCTATCCTTGTATTAACCCTTGATTCATTGGAATTCTTGATTAACTGGAGCCTGGCTTTTGAAACAAGCGTCCGTTGAGACGTGAAAAAGAAAACGGTCCTAGCGGCAGTGCAAATCTGACTACGAATCAAACCTCATTTGTCTACAACAATGGCTCAGTGAGAACTGATGGTCAAAATCAGGCCCCTTGGAGCATTTAAACGCTCCGAATCATTACAGAAAGAGGAAAGACGGAACCATATCAAGGTGGAAGAGTACAGTCAGACTTGGGAACGTCTCCCAGCACAGGCTGAAATAAAGAGGAGTTTTCTGCTTGCCCCGTGCTAGCCACAACATTCAGGAAAGTGGATGCGCCACAGGGTCACTTTTGAGCAGATGATCCAGTTGGCCTGCCCATTCCAGCAGCTGGTCACCCCTGCTCAGAGAATGCCCAATGCTGGGGGGTTCCAACACCAACATATGGTATGAAAGCTGAAGAAGTAGGAATCTGCTAAATAAAAGTGCCACACGCAAACCGGGGTTCATGCCATGGGTTCTTGGAACCGCTGACAGCTCGAATCCATCTTGTAATGAGATCCATCTGGGACGTTAATAGTGCACCCCTCTTGCTTGGAGAAGAACCACAAATAGGACATGTTTACACCAGATCTCATTTTTTGGTAGAAAGCTTCCAATGAGCTTTTTTATTCTAGTCGCAGAAACTGTGACGAGAACTCCAAAGGACGCACCCTACGTGACTGTCGGATGCTGGTGCCCTCGCTTGGGTACGATGGGCAATTGGGTGAGGAGCAGTGGCAGGATGGTATGTCATTGTCACGCATAAGAAATTCTCTCCACCACCTGGGCAAGTGGGGAGAGTACGAACTGTTGCAAAAGGACAGCGGCAATCACTCCGTTAGTCCCCCCAGCCACCGCCGGCCAACCGGCACCTGGGTGCCCACCACTGCGCCATCCCAACGTGAGTTCACTGTGACCACAGCTCCAGCCTGCGCCACGGAGGAGCTGAAGCGGAGACGGCCTTCGGGGCGCTGAGAGACAGACGGTCCGCTGAGACGAGCTGCCCATCAGACCCCTGTGCTATAATTATTGCTTTGCTCTCCTTGACAAGAAAATGGATGTGCACAGACAGGGGAGGCTCTGAAGAAAATGCATGAGTATGGGCAGCCCTTTCACTCCAGGACCAGGAGCTGTCAGGTAAGACCATGGTCTGCAGAGGCTGACACCCCAGGAAAGGTCTTAATCTTCAGTTAAAGAATCAGTCATAAAAACACCGAAGGTACCCCATTTCCATGCGCGGGTTATTATCTGAGACGTACGTACACCACCAAGACGAAGGATTTTTAGACAGACCTGACCGGACAAAAAGCAGTGACCTCCTCCAGACCAACAGTGACACAAGATGTGAAGGACAACCAGTCCTAAGCCCCAGTGACATGCTCTTCAGAACGAGGCAGCCCTCTGCACCCCTGGAGGCTGGCCTGGCCCCACTGGGGGGGAGTGTGCCTGCTCTCAGACTCAAAGCATGCTGCGGCCAGTACCCAGGCGCCACCTGCCCTGGGGACAGAGACAGGCAAGCTCATGCATGGGTTAGTATCACGGAGGGCAGTACCATCACCACATAGAGAGTACCTGGCAACAACCTACTTTGAGGGCTCAAATGCAGATAGGTCTTCTGCCTTGGGCTTGAGGCTAAACCAGCAAAATAAAATGAAGAAAAACAAAAACATACCCTGTGATATCAACAATGCCACACGTGCCATTTGCAAAACGCTCAGACAGGCCTGAAACTGTGACAAGTGACTCTGTTTGTTTTCATGGCTTGGAAATGGGTCTGTTCAGCTTTCAACACTCCCAGTTCCTGTGGCTGAGGCCCGCTCGCCGCAGCAACGGCAGAGGTGAGGCTGCTCCCAGTACCCGGGTGCGTGAGTGCGGGGCAGCTCCTTTGGGGCCCGACTGGCCAGCCCACTGGCCCCGTCGCCATCTGCTCACTGGCTGAGGCCTCAGTGCCGCTCCCCTCTTGTTAACTGTTGGATAATTTGGTTTTGGAAGGGAAGTGCAGTAAATGGCAGAAGCCAGAGGTGGGAAGAATGTGGAATGTGCTAAGGTCTTTCCTTCTAGGTTATACTACTAAAAGGAACCCTCTACCCAGCACCAGTACTAACTGCAGTCAAGAGAGAGAATTCAAGGCTCCTGATTGCACCCACTAATGATGGCAGGTAGTTCTCAGATGCAGCTTAACCACCGCAAATAGATATTCCTTAAACTGGGAGACCATTTTAGACTAAAGGTAAAGAGCATACACTTAAACATATCTAAACGATCATTCTCTAAGCTCAATGAACAGTCTTCTCTTAATGACACCTGTTTTGCAGGTGTTACCTGGCCCGGGGCCATCAGTTAGGACCCAATGTCAGGTGGCAGGAGAGGACCTTTCTGCTTTGTCCAGCATCGGAGAAGCACGCTATTGGGCTGATACTTAGGATGGAAATTAACTTCCTCTAAAATGCTAACAACTTGAAATATTCAGTGCAGAGAGATGTCAGACCATCAGCAACCTCTTTTAAAACATTAAGGTTCTTCTAGATACTTCCTTTTAAGTATGAAAAAAGTAAAACACTCAGAATTTGGTTTCTAAGTCAAGAACAGAGCTTTATAGTCCTTGCCACTTAAAAAACACAAAAAGTCTGGAGGGAGAGTCTATTCTCAACAGCCTCCACCTCATTTCGCTCTCTCATTAAGTGAGGCAGCTCCCTGGGCAGAACTCCTCTCAGTTTAAAAGACAGAATTGCTTTACTGCTAAATGATGGATCAAAACCCGTCCAGTAACAGCAATTCATTTCATCATGAAATGCTGTGTTAAAAGCTCCCCTTCCTTCAAGCCAGTGGGTTCACAGGCATTGACAGATTAAATTCCCTTTTAGGCAAGAGTCAAAAAATTTTTTCTCAACAAAGTACATACAAAAAATGACCGGAGTCTAGTGACTCGGCTACTGAGGAAACCAGCCGCCGACTGCCCATTTCATTGACGACGGCCCTGATCGGCAGAAGACAGGAGGCTTGGTACCTTTTTGATGGTGTTGTGCTTGCTGCTGGTGCCGCCCCGGTCGGAGTTCTCATTGTGCAGAATGTCCAGGGCTGTCTCCCGCTCCTTGAGCTTCAAGGCCTCGATCTCGGTCTTGAGTTCATTGAGCTGCTCCTGCAGATGCTTGCTCTTCTCCATATACTCCACTCTGCCGGCAAGAGGACACTGCATCATGGCTCAGGCCAACAGGGACGCCTGTCAGGGCGAAGCTCGGGGCCTACCAGCCACTTGGCATGGGGTCCTGGGCTTGAAGCCTCGGGTTTATGACCCTACTTGGACACTCAGGGGCCATGGGAGGTTGGGCTACTCACTTAATGGGTCCGAATTGCTTTCCTCATCCCTAAAACCGGGATAATGATCACAGGGCTGTGGTCAGAATTAAATAAAGGAGAGTGTAAGAAATTCCCCTTTCGCCCTACTGTAAGCGCTCACAAGGTATTCTACAAATACCCATCGAGACAGATAGCTTTCAGTTCTGTACAAAAAAACAGCTCATGAAATAAGCCCCCGGCATCCAAAACAATCTTCTTGTCTCAGCCCTTGTCGGAGAAGTAATTCCATTCAAGTGACCTCTTCTGACTGGCCGTGGCCACCTCCCTGCTTGTTTTTGGGTGACATCTAAAGATGATAGGCGCTCACTCGGCCAACACTAGGAAGAAAAAAATCCCCACCATCACTTGCAAGTAGATGCCGCATATCTGACAGTGAAAATCTGGAGCTCATCCTCAAAGTGTCCAACTACAGGACACGGCCCATGCAACTCAGACACCAGGGAATGTTCTGTAGTACCTCCACATGCCAGTACATGGACTCTGCAACATGTGCACGGGTAATAAAGTAAGAAAACAGAAACTATAAAAGGCAGGGCACAGACAGCAGTAGCCCCACGCCAATCACAACCATGTAATGCTGTTGGTGCCCCGGACAATGGTGAACGGCTGGAAGGGGAACTCCAGGAGAGGCCATTGCAGATGGAGACTCTGGGTCCACACCTCAGTGTGGGGGCCCAGGGAGCCACAGCCCGGCTCGTGGTTGCCCACCATGGGCTCCAAGGAGACACAGTCTCCAGAGGGTTGTCCCGAGCATAGTATGTAAAGTGAAAACACAGAGGCTTGGATGGGCTCGGAGCTGAATCCTGGTTCTGGCCCTCATTACCTGTGTAATGTGAGTGAGTTCCTTAAATGCTCTAAATCTGGCTTCTTCTTTGTAAAGAGGAACACTAAAACCTACCTTTGATGTCAGTTTGTTGTTAGTTAATGGGAGTGAAATAAGATAAAAGCTAGAACACCCTGACACCCAGGCACTCAGTCCCTGGTAGCTTTTGAGACTGTTCTGTGGTGAGCCATGCACAGTGGGCCATTTCACCCCCAGCTGGGAACTGGGGGGACCTCAGTTAGACTTCCTCTGCAGTGGGCCTGCTTCCCACCCCAGATCCACTCCCAGGGGCCAGAAGATGCAGGACAGAGCTGCAGAAGCTGCTGCGAACAGGGCCAGTGGGCCCAGCCCAGGGCTGGCCCATGCAGCAGGGCGGCCGACCTGGACGTTTGCTCTCCTCAGCCTTGAGCCTGAGGTTCTTTTCTTCTCTCTTCCCCTTGTTCTAAACCTGGAATGTCACAGATCTGAGCCGCCAGAGAACACAACTAGGAAACATGTTCTAGTCCCATGTTAGGGCACTATCACACACTCTGCTATGATGTGAACAACAGTCTGACCACTGGAGACCCTCGAGAGCCCGTCCCATACTTGAGGTGAGGGTTTGAGCCAGTATAATCTCCAGGTCGCCAACCAAGTATCATTTTTATCCTGGAAGATTGAATGCTGGTCTGCAGTCCTTCATTTCTGATTAGGGAATCAGAATTCTGATTCTTCCTCTAGGGAATTCTTCCTCTAGGTGGTGAGGGCAGAGCAAACCCTTGCAGGAGCTGGTGAAAGGCTGCTGCAGCGACCCACCGCTTTCCCCAGGCCCCGGCTGACTCGCTCTAGTTCACTGGTTGCCCAAGCATGGAATGGGGGCGGGGCGTCTACATACTTCTCTTTCTCTATCTCCATGGAAAGTCGCTTCATGTCAGTATCCTTGAAGTCGAAAGACGGGCTGTCGCCAATGAGGTTGAAGCTTGATATGTCAGGAGGCAGCGGTGCTGGAATTGGGTTTATGGGCTACAAATGAGAAATCTGCCATTATTAGGCAGTTTGGGTTTTACAAATGCAGGGACCCTCCCACTGACCCTCCAGCCGCCAGAAAGGCTGTAGGTGCAGCGCGGGCCTGCCTCTTACCCCCCCCACAGCCCTCTGTCAGCATCGTCTTCTTCGACCCCACAGTTCTATTTGAAAATTTATTCTAGCAACATAGCCACATGTACGTGCAAACATTTGCATTCAGCAATGTTCCAAGTTCCTGTGGTTTTGTTCTTAATTGCAAAAGAGAGCAGACTAAATACCCATCCACTGGGGACTAGTTAGATGAATTATAACCCCTCCATACAATGAAATCTGATTAAAAAGTTGATAGGCGATCCCCCAGAACTTATTAATTTATTTATTGTTAGAACGGTGTATAAAGTTTGCTGGAATGTGTGTTTTAGAAACACACAGCTGTGGTATCCAGCCCAGATGAGCCGCAGACAACTCCGGTCCCAGCTGCCATCTGCCTGCAATCACCTCAGAGGTCCCCGAGAAGGACCACTGCCCAGTCAACCCACCGAGCAATGAGAGAGAATAGTGCAAGGATGTTTCGAGCTATATGGCTGGCTTGGGGTGGCCTGTCGCATGGTCACAGACAACCAGCACAGATGACAACAGCAAACTGCTCCCATTTCCTCCACCTCAAACCCGGGGCAGCTCATGCCTCTGTGCCCTGTGCACGTCTGTGCTGTGTGTGTGGATGTGCAGTGCAAGCATTTACGCGGCGCACACATCTATACACCTGCCCGGAATGCCCTAGTACGTCTCCCATCTAGTTAGCTCCCACTCACCCTTCAGGAGTCAGCTCAGGCGCCAACCTGAGCCCCTCCTGCCCCACCAGGCTGGGCTGAGTTCCCCTCTAGCACCTGGGCACCCTGTCTGTATAATGACTTCCCATCTGCCTGCTAGTGTAAGGAACAGAACAGGAGTGCAGTTTGCTGAACTAAATGCCCTCCACCGCTGAGAAGGCTTCTCTATTCATTTTGTGACCCTATTTAATTGAAGTCTGTCTCCCTGTCCCAAAATTAAGTTTGGAAGCTGCTTCTTGCACGGCAATAGTTCACATGAGGCATGGAGGGTATCCCTGCCCAGAACTATGATTATGGTGTATGGTATATAGTGGTAGTTCAAGATTACATTCAGCTTGACGCTAAGAAGCTAGAGAGTAAGTTCTCTTGAGGATGATTTGGGACTTCATTCCTTAGAACGAGGAAAACATTCCAGAGCTGTAACAGGCCCTGTTGCTTGTTATCTTGGCAACCAGAGAAGTGACTAGCTAGTCCAGGGCCAAATGGCAGACCAGGCGTTCTGCCCCGACCCCAACTGCAGGTTCTCTGCACCACCTGCTCCGCCACGCATTTGCCCGGAACAGTCCTGTCAGGGAAAGGAAGGCTGCCAGGTCTCCACAGCCCCTGTTCAGGCTCACCGGGTACGTGGGCTTGGTGGTGATTTCCAGGAGCTTTTGCTTGGCCCTTCGCTCTGCCTCACGGGCTTCCTGCAGGTCTTGCTTCAGCTGGTCAGCCTCCTTGGCCCTACAAGAAAAGGAAGGGCTGTCACCTCCATAAAAGATGACAGATGGAGGAAAGAGACCCCCTTCTCCTGGTGACCCCGCTGGAGCCGTGGGACCTGGATTAATCCCAAGGAACGCACCAGATCGGACAAACAAGGATGGTGGAGAGCGGGTGGGACATTTACAGGAAATCAGAACTTCCAAGCGAACGACACTCCCTGGTGTTATTCGCCTGCAACTGGTAAATCTAAAGTGGAAGAGCAGGGGAGCCAGTGGGAAGAAGAGTTGAGTATAACAAGCCTTTGTAATTGGCGGTGGGGGAGGCCAGTTGGGCTGCAGGCCCTCTCTACTTCATTTCTGGGTGAGAGCAGGATGAACCAAGGAAGAATCTGGTGGATCGAAGGTCTTACGCTGGATTACAAAGGGCAGGAGGTGAAAGAACTGACCCCCACAGCCCTCCTACCCCCAAACAACTGCAGGCTAAGGGCCACCAGTGGAGGGCCTTAAACTTGGATGCAGGTCTTTGCCCACAGGACAAGGATCCAACCCATTATGCCTCACTCGTGGGGGAAGCGATCCGAACACAGAAAGAAGGGGCCCTGGGCAGGGCAGAAAACAAGGAACCGTATTTTCAGACCAATGCACACAAAGTAGACAGGAAAACTGAAGAGATTATACCTTGGTAGAGAAAAGCTAAATTCAGATGTTCGAAATCAAAGCAGCCAAATGCTGTGGGGAATGTGCCAGAGTTTATCTGAAGGCTGCAGGACTAGAACAGTCCAGAGCCTGGAATAGTCTTTGAAAAGTATAGACAACAGTTCCATCCCTCGACCTGGTTGGGAGCGGGCCATCCTGGCTGGGGGGAACCCAGACCCTTTCCTCCCACCTGCTTCAGGAGCCTTGGCTCCAAGGAAGGCCTGCAGGGAAGTGGGTGCCTGGTTTCTACACTAAAGGTAAGTAGCTGCTGTCTCTCCACATGCCCCATAAATAAAAAGGGAAACAAATCACGTTTTTTAAATGAATGAAGAGCTTCCTTATATCTCCTCAGCTAAAGGCAGTCTGCGGACATGCTTGATGGTTTTCCTGCAAACACGGTATCAGAGGGACAAGGGCTTATCGCAAAGGCACAGGCATGACCAGAGGTCCACGTGACAAGAGAGCTGTGTCCCTTCCGAGAGCTCCAGCCCTGAAACTGGAATAAGCACCAGTCCCCACCAACCTCGCAAAGAAGGAGCCTCTCCCCTTCCCAGACACTGGAGAAGCAGCCGGAGGCCAGCTGCAGCCATGCTCTGCCTCCGGGCAAGGTCAAGGCTGAGCAGCCCCTCACCCTAGTGCCCAGGACCCCCCAGCCCCCCACCTCTGACCTCCTCTCTGACTCTTCAGCCATCTTCAGTGCCAGCACCTCGGCCTCTAGCACCTTCTGCTCCATCAGGCGCTTCTCTTCCTCTGTCCGAATGGCCGTGGCCTTGATGCGCTGCATTTCCTGTTCGGCCTCTGCAGCCTTCTGTGCCAGGAGTTTTGCCTCCTCCTCGGTGATTTGGGCCTTTTCTGCCAACAGGTCAGCCGTCTCCTCAGACCGCATCTGGAGGGAAGAGCGCCGTCAGCTGGGGTGGGGACCATGTGCCTACTGTCCCACCAGGTCCCAGCTCAGACACTTGGGTAGGTCAGCAAGAACCAGAGTCTCCGATTCCTTGGGGCCCTTCCCGTGAGTGTCCCCTCAGATGACACCCTGGCAATAGATGGCAAGCCACACCCCCTCAACTTTTCAGAAGGGCCCTACAGGTTCCTCCTTGGGGAGCGACAAGAAAGCACCTTTTGGAGTCCCTGTCTGAGCTGAGGCTTACGCTTTACAAGGGAGAAAACCAACTTAACTCTGTTCTCGTTTCTTTCTCCTTTTAAATCAGTTCCAAACCAGTGGGCACTTTTTTCCCTGGGGCACATGTAATGATGTCTGCAAACAGTTCTGACTGTGGAAAATGAAACCATCAAAGTAAGGTGGTACTACCAGCATCTAGTGGATAGAGACCAGGGACCCTGCTAAACACCCTTCAGTGACAGGACAGACCCACCACAAAGGACGATCTGGGCCAAGGTCATTAGTGCCGAAGCTGAGAGGCCCTGCCTTAAAGGCATCCCATGGTGAAAAGGAGTTTGTCTGCACATGAACTCAAGTTAAATGTGCTTCTGCCAGCACAGGTGGAAAGGAAAGGCACTATTTTTTTTTTAAGCTGAAATGTCAAAGCAAATGCCACTAATCTGTGGTCCTCAGGAGGCCTCACGCCGGCAAACTGAGCAAGACCCCTGGACCCCAGCCCCCTCGGGAGTCACCAGTGCTTCGTTGGCCATCGTCGCCTCTTCTTTCATCTGCAGCAGCCTCCTCTCCAGCTCGTCCCTCGTGCGTTCGGCCTCCTCCCTCATCTGCTTCTCTCGAGCCAGGCGCTGCCGCTCCATCTGGGGGCAGGGGACGAAAGCAGTCACTGAGTGAAGGGACTCCTGACCTACGGTGCCACAGGGATCCAAGAATGCCCAGCAGCCAGGGTCTCCCCTTTGGGGACCCTTTGCTTCTGGTAGCCAGTGTCATGCTTGTCCCCCACCACCCTCTGTCCTTCTAAACGAGGTGTCAAGTTGAAAACTATGCTCCTTGGAAAAACATCTCGTGGTAAACAAACCCACTAAAAGCCAAGTCAGCTCTCTACCTGGATTGAAGGAGGCGTGTGCTGAACCAGCCACCTGGCCAAAATCTCTTTTTGTGGGGAGTTCTCTAAGGGCTCTGCCCCGCATCTGACGGGACACATTGCAGGCTCCTTCTCCTTGGGATGGAGCCCCACAAACAGACAACTCTCTCCTCTGGGCGGATGAGCCACCTCACCATTTCTAATGTGCACAGACCTCTTCCACACCTCTGATTTCATCCACCGTCCATCCGCTCTTGCCTCTGACCCACAGAGAAGACGGAACCGTTCTGCGTGATGCACCAGTAGTTCACACACTGTATTTCACAGGGCGAAGCTGCAGCAGCAGCCTCCACACAGACTCGCGTGGAGGCAACTCCTGAGCCAGGCCTGCGACAGGAGGGAGCCAGGCGGGGAGCACAGCCCCCATCCTCCAGGCACCAGTACAAAGGCGCTGCCACCTCCTTTGCCTTCTGGATCACTGTATTAATTGGGCCACATGCCGAGCTCAATAAGGCGAACAAGCACAGGACAAGTGCTCTTCTCTGTGATCCAGCCGTACCCACTGAATTCAGGAAGCAAAGCCAGAACTGACCACTGCACTGTTTTGTTCCTTAAATAATTAAAGCACATTTAATTACTTCTTGCTTCAATCTTCTCCCAAACACAAGATTTCTAAGATTGCTGCTTTTTTCTACATACTAAGCAAAAAAAAAAAAAAAATGCAGTGGACCTCGAAGGAATAATGAAAAGACAAGCTATAAAATACTGTAAATTCTTCTCCAATTTTCAACGAAAAGCTTGGCCAATTTGTTCTCTAATTTCCATCATATTACGATTTCCATTCGGTGGATGACCGTGTGTCCATTAGTCTCCACTTGAAAACACCCAGGCAGTCCCCTTCCGTTCCCAGCACTGCACTTGCCTGCGGCCTCCACCCCCATAATAAGGGACCTCTCGTTTGCAAAGTGGTTTAAGCTGTAATGACTTTCAGGTTCAATATGTCCTTTGATCTGAGACAGAGAAGAGGCATCATCAGCCCACGTGATCCATGAGAACACTGAGGTCTGGAAGTTAAGTCATTCACTAGCGTCACAGGCTAAGTTTCACAGCTGGCTCCAAGGTCACTGTCTGTTGGGGGTGGTGTGTGGGGGGCATGGAGCCCCTGACCGGCAGTTGCCAGATCCCAGGGACGTGTCTCTGCTGTTCTATAGGCAATACAGGGCGGGGTGTGTTCCCGTTATTCGCTGCCACAGCCCGGAGGCTGACATGCTCCTCACTGTTTTTAGATCTCTCGCTTCTAAGCTTTGCTCTGCTGAAAAAGAGGTCAGACTGGGCTCTTCTGACAGTTGCCACCATCACACTGTGCCTGCTCAGGAGCATTTCTTTGTCCAACAAAACCCGTTCCACCCCCCCCCAAAGCATCCTGAAGAGCACATCTATGGCCTGCCATCTCAGAAAGCAAAGAGATGGAGAGTCGAAGGCACAGGATCAAACTGGGCATTTCATTCTGAAACTCAGGGCTGGGAGCCAGACCCAGCCAGAGTTCCCAAATCAGAGACAGCTGCGCACAGACTAATTATTACACCTTCTTGAGCCCGCAAGTCCTGAGGGCAGCTGACTGCAGCTGCTGCTACGCTATCTAGTAGTTTGTCCAAAACCACAATTATTATTCTCGGCGGTGAGGCTCAGATTACTTGTGTGGATTTCGGCGAGTCGGAAAGGTCTATGAGTAGGAAACAATGATGCAGATTGTCCAGTCTGATGATAGGCGCCCCAGCACCTCCCGTGCTGGGTGATGTGCCGCCAGCCTGACCTACAGTGGGGAAGTGCAGCCAGAGTCTAATTAGCATTCCAGCAGCAGCACTGAAATGCTGCCATGCATTCTATCACCACCTAATTAGAAAAGGAGAAGGCCGGGCAAAGGAGACAGGCGGGCAAAAGGAAAGCTTAGCTGGAGGGAAGAGAAATGGATGAATGGGTGGGGACGTACACGCTTGACTATTTCTTTCCACTTCACTTAAGTGGAGAAATAACGAGAGACATTTCTTTCAGATAGGCTATTAGAGTTTACCCCTCAGTTCCAGAGCTGACTCCCTACCAGCTGGGCATCAGCCAAGAAAAATCCAAAAGAGATAAAATAAGAATACGTATTCTCCACGACCAAAGGACTCTTGTCTGCTGGTAACCACTCCTTATCCGCTGGGTCAAGGCCACCCCTGGGTGCAGTCCAAACATGGTCTTGCTCACCTGCTTTCTAGCTTTCTCCTCCCTGGCCTGGGCTTTCATCTGCTGAACTTCCAAAGAATCGGCCTTTCTTCTCCTCATAAAAAGGTCATGGTTCCCAATACACAGCTGAAGAATCTGCAGCCATGGAAGCAAGAGAAATGTTAAGCCCACAAATTTACTTCACTGCTTACAGCTTGCTGGCGCTGCGGCATCTTGGCCTGAGAGCTCTCACGGGCAGCAGGGAGCCTGGAGAGGAGGGCGTGGTGTGAAACCCCAAGGCCCGAATCCTGGCCTCTCGGCTGTCAGTGCTGGAGACAGCAAACGAAGGGGCCTCAGATACGCCAGGGGACAGGGGCCTAGACGTTCACATTCCTAGACTCTAGAGAAAATGCTGCCCGCGTGCACCACGATGAATGTTCGTGACAGCCTTGCTAAAATGGCACAGAAGTGAAAAGCACTTAATTGTTTATTAACAGGAGAATAAAAACAATATATACACCTGTAGCCACATAATAGAATGCCATACAGCAGTGGAAACGAAGGGATCATATCTTTAAGCATCAAACATACATAAATCAAAAATAATGTGTAAAAAAGGCAAGTGACAGAGAATACAGTTGCAAGCATTTATACAGAGCTTAATAGTATATTCGTTTTGCCACAAAAATAAAGTTCTCGATGAAAAGCAAGAGAATAATGAGCTTAGAATAATGACCACCCTGGAGGAGGAGGTGAGAGGGGCAGACTGGCTAACATGAGGGGTATCAACAGTATTGGGGTGTACTGTTTCTTAAAGCGGGGTAGTGGGTACATAGATGTTTGTTTTTCTTATTCTTTATGCCATGTATAGGCACATTATACTTATTCTTTATATGTATAAAGTACTTCAATAAAAATAACTTTTACAGATGCTTCATCATAAAATTTAAGGTTGACTCTTTAGCTTAAGCTAAACAGAAGAGTCTTTCCCAGCCTATCAGAACAGCGCATACCGAGATGTCACTCTGATACTGTTTCAGAAAGGGCACTTGGTTTCTCAGGAAAACTAGAGCTATCAGTAGTGAAAACCAGGATCTCAACTTACCAGCTTATTAACACGAAGCTTTGAGGAGTTGAACTTGAAGACATCGATTTTCTTATCCAGTGGTTTAATAGTAAACTGAAAGAAGGAAGCGGAAAACAGGTTTGGGTTGACAGCCCAGAATGTTCCCAGCGACTGGGGAATTCGGCAAAAGCAGCCACCGCCCTGGCAAAGATCCAGCACGTGGCTGTTTCCCTGCCCTGGCTCCCTGGCACCCAGGCACCACAGCTCAGTGAGCTAACGGTGGATTGTAAGTGCCTGAGGGCACCAGGTGCCGGACTGTGGAAGTTCCGGATCCTGGAAGGTGCGCTCTCGGTACCATCTTGAGCCGAGAAACCTGAAATACAAACCCTTGACAGGCCCAAGCTCCAGGCTAATCCTGGGAGGGCCACGCCAGAGTCTAAGTCATGACCGTGACTTTAGGAGGTTCACAACCTGGTGAAACTAGATTAACGACTGTCGATGACTCCAGAAATTACATCACATATTATTAGTGCCTCATTGGGTGGCACAAACCACAAATGTTGTGGAGGATTCAGAGTAATCTGCCATAAGTAGGAGGGGACTTAGGCGGCTAAAGAATATGACAGAGAAACGAAAAAGTAAGATAGAAGGACATTCTAGACAGGGGAACAACAGAAATAAGGCAGAGATGGACAAATGAGCAGTGTGTGTGTGTGTATTCTTGACGTTATAAGCCCTTTGATTACTAAGACAATACCGTGGGCTTAGACTGGGAGGGAGGCTGGGTTGGGCTGGGGGTAGTGAGTGGCCTGAGAGTGGACAGAGAGGTTGAGATTCGATGTGACAGCGTACAGGGGTCACTCCAGGTTCCTGAACGTGGGGATTAGTAGATGCAAGCTGTGACAGAAGGAATGCAGTAAAGCGTGAAGACGAGGTCAAAGGGGAGAGAAAGGTGACTGATGAGGATAGGGTGGTAGCTTATGGGAGAACCCAGGGCCAGACCACTGAGAAAGGTACCACATAAAGAACAAATGGCAACTGCTGTTGACAATTATTCCTGATGAGACCAGACAGAGTCTAGGTTTCAAAGATGCACTTAAAAAATATGTTTGGAAAGATGTCCTGGCTGCTGTGTCTCAGTGGATTGGGTGCCAGCCTGTGAACCAAGGGATCACCAGTTCCATTCCCAGTCAGGCCACATGCCTGGGTTGGGGGCCAGGTCCCCAGGTGGGGACACGTGACAGGCAACCACACATAGATGTTTCTCTCCTTTTCTTTTTCTCTCCCCCTTTCCCCTCTCTCTCTAAAAGAAATAAATAAAATCTTTAAATTAAAAAAATATATATATAGATGTTTGGAAAAGATATATTCTGGGGTATTTCTTTCTCACATTATATTGTCCAACAAGGGGGTTAGCACAATGAAGACAGAAAACAACCCTTTGTTTAGTGTTTGGTCAGGTTAACTTAGAAGCGGTATCACCCTGTGCAGGCTGCTGTTTGTGAATTGCGTGAGCTTATTTTGGGCCCTGCTGTCAAATGCTGGAGCTGCCAGCAGGAAACCACAAGGAGTGGGGAAACCGCAGGCTCTGCTCCATGCCAGGGCTGCACAGAGAATCAATGAATCACTTAGAATAACCAACATTTCTGTTTTGACAGCACGGCTGTCAAACTTAAGTACTAAGACTACTTCCTATTATGTCAAGTCAGCTCCGGGTATTTTTACTGTGAGAGTTATGGATGTGATGGAACGTGACGGCGCCTTGGCCCAGGAGAGGGCCCATTACGATCTATGACGTCTGGCCACACGAAGGGAGGCTTCAGGCCTTGGGCTCTGGGAGAACGCATGTTTTGGGGGCCTTTAGCACACAAATTTGTGGATGTGCAATAAACAGACTTTATAAAATTGGGAATGAATAACTACCATACCACGGCATACCTCCTGCTTTAAGACATGTGGAGCTTTCAAGTTAAGTACTTAAAAAAAAAATACCTTAAATGCTCATCTCCTGGGCTACTGACAAAAGTTGGAAAGCCGGAATGTTTTGAGTTAAGAAGCTCCATCTGTCTCACTAAGCATGGCTGAGTAGATCTCAACCACGTATTAGGAACCAGGGGCCTGCCGTTCCTTTCTTTGAGCGGCTACAAGGAGAGGGGAAGACAGGAAGTCTGCCTAGGGGTGGGGGCTCTGTAGGCAACACAAGCCATTGCTATTACTATCTCTGCACTCAGACGTCCTGGCAGTGCGGGCACCGGTACATCACTGGGCATCTGTATGTCACTGAGCACTGTCCGGGCCTGCTCTCCGCCGCCTAGTGCCCTGTGGCTTCAGGGAACCTGGCGCTCAGCCCCTGCCATTCTACTCCCCAGACACAGGTCCCCTGATCTCTCTACATCTCTGCTTCCTGCGGTGTGACAGAGATAACCAAACCCAGCCCGGGCTCTTGCGGCAGTGTTTGTGGGAGCACTTAATGAGTCGGGGTGACAGTGCCTGCACGGGCAAAAGCACAGCATCACCATCACCTTCAACGCCAGTGCCCCACACTGCAGCCACGTACCACAGCAGCCCAATCATCACTGGACTGTAACTTCCCTGAGGGCTAAGACAGGAGTTTCTACACCTTTGTTTCCACTAGGAGACCTAACACAAACCAGACACTCGATAATTCCCTTACAATGAACAAAGAATGAATGAGTGAGCAAACGAATGAATGAGTGAGCAAACAAATTAACAGCTTTTGGGAAAGGTCACCATTCTGTCTAGAAATATTTGAATTCTAACTTAGAGCGTTTATCTAAATAATTTAAACTTCACTATTCTCAAATTCTTGCAAGCAGGTCAGCCTGATATCATTATTTATATCATTGTTGATATACGTACCTCCCCCCATATCAAGCATTAGACACAAAGAGAGGGTTTGATACATTCCACACTTAAAGTGCAAAGAGAATTTCTCACCAGAAATAAAAAGCCAAGCAATAAGAAAAGGTTACATTTTGGTTTGTTCACTGTTCTTTGGGGTTTAGTCCTGACAGGTTGAGCTTCCCGGACTCCTGTTAGTCAGCAGGGGGTTCAGCGAGGCTATTTGAAAACAGGATGCCTGTACTGTTCTGTATATACTATACACATCAATAACCCAACTCCCAAAGCCTGGGAGTTAAATGATTTTCTTGATAACAAGAGAATATGGCAGGGGATGCTTCGGCAAGGAGGAGAGATGGGGAAAGACCTTCCGCGGGGCCACTGGCGCGTCGGCAGCGCACATCACGCAGATCACGCCCTACCTCCTTGTCGCTGTACGAGATGTTTCGGATTTCATTCCACGGGAAGGAGATCTTGGGGGTCAGCCTGTTCTCGGGGTCATAGATGTGAAGCCCCAGGGCATCCACTCCAAGCAGCAGCTCTGTGCCCTTTTTATTCTGCAGATTCAACAAAGAACAGCTACTGTCAGCTCCAGCTGAGGCTGGAGGTCTTATTCCGCTTCCCCAAAGACCTGGCACACACTGTTACATATGACAAGTTTCAACAGTTCCCAGCAGAAGTCACAGCTGTCGTATAACCCAGGGGGCCTCTGGCTTCCTGAATGGAGGCAGGTGGAGGCAAAACCACCCCATTTATATGATTTGTGTGTCCCACAGAGGGACGACTGGAGGCTCCCGTTGCTGGCTCGCTGGCTCAAGTAGCAGCGACCTAAGCATTGTTAGCCTCTAATTAAATAACCAGGTCATCGTAGACAGAAAATAAAAACCTGCAGGTTTAATCATTTCTTATGTCAAAAGAAAAAACTGCTGGACTGTCAGAAAGAAAACTCTTAACTGCTGAGATCAGATGGTCTCATTACCACATGTTAAAGTGCATCTTAGTGTGATCAAGCCAGTGCAATAAAATGTTAATTGTAGAATCTATGCAGTGGGTGTATGTGGGTATTTATTCATTGTAAAATTCTTTCAACTTTTCTGTATGTTTAAAATCTTTTAGAATAAAATGTTGGAAAAATATATCAAACTGAATTATACATAAATGAGGCCTCGGTACGGCTGCATAAAAGATCAATTGCCTAGACTCAGTCTCTACCTCTGATGGTCAGCGATCGGGGCAGCCAGAGGGCGAGCGTGCTGGGCCCACGCGTCGCTGACCCCGTTCGTTGGGGACCTGGAGGCCACGTCCTCATGCTACAGGGCCACCCGCCTGTGCTGTGGTCTGGCCTCTGGGTGACAGAGCGGGGAAGCTTCCCACGCAAAGCCCCTTGCTGACAATGATGAGACCAAACTGAGACTCCGGGGCAGGAAGACAGAGCCGCAACCTGAGAGGGTGCGTGGACTGTGATGCGAAGCGTCCACCCAGCAGCAGCTGTCATGTGGACAAGGAAGTCCTCCAAGGTAATTTTTTTCTAACACCCTGAGGCCAGGTATGATTGCCAAACCATGAGAGACATTCCTCTGTTCGTCTGCAAAGCTCTTAAAACTATGTGCTATGTGAACACAAGGAAGGCTTTGTACTTTTAAAATCCACGGTATTTTGGAAAATGAGATACTTCTGACTATTTCGTTTAGCTTTTTAAAGAAAAAAACGATCTTACTCTGTGCCGCGTATCACCATGACTCTGACCTCTCAGGGAGAAAGAGAGGAAACTCAGGCAGCCCCTTAGAAACGGTTTTAAGCCCCTATGTTCCTGAGTTGACAGTGGATCCAGGAACTTTAACTAAAACATGCATTAGCTTTGTCTGTGGCACAATATAAGAAACCACACACACAACACAGTATCCGACTGCTGTTAGAAATTGTTTTTTAAGGATCGTGAAAACAGTTTTCTAGTTTCTGGTTTTCTAGAATCTAGGCGGTGGGCATACGGAGCAAGGGGAATTCTGTTGACAAAACCCAGAAATGCACTAAATTACTCTGACCCTAAAGAAACAGAACTAGCAAATACACATTAATAAAACTTTAGAAAAATTTTGGAACTTCCACCAAGATGGAGGCGTAGGTGGAAACACTTTGCTTCCTCGCACAACCAAATCTAAAAACAACAAAGTTTTAACAACAATAAACGCAACCAAGCCACAGAAAATCGAACAATACGGAGTCTGAAAACAATGAACCGCTCAGCTAAACCGGTGAGAGGGTCAGAGCCAGCAGCGGAGCAGGTCAGGCAAAAAAGATTCCCCCGACCAGGGTGGTGCGCAGGCAGCCCAGGGCGAGGATCCCAGGTGCGGGGTAGCTACAGGTGGACCCAGGGAAGGCGCAGGGTGGCTGGCTGTCTGCGGTCGCGCATTTGTGTGCAGATAAACCAGTGAAGAGATGTGCACTGAGACAGACCATGCAGGCCCCGGCGCAGGGCAGCAGGCTCACACATTTGTGCTCAGATAAACAGGCGGGGGCAAGCAGAGAGGACCGCCATTGCTCCCTCTCTGACCCTGCCCCCACGTACAGCGTCACAAACCAGCGCCGACCTGGGTGGCCCCGCCCTGGTGAACACCTAAGGCACCTCTCCTCATACATAACAGGCACAAACAGATCAAAACATGGCTCAAGAACAACTCAGAGCCCCAGAGCCAATAAATCTAAGTGATGAAGAAATAGCCAAACTTTCAGATGCACAGTTCAAAACATTGGTGATCAGGATGTTCACAGAACTGATTGATTTTAGTCACAAATTAGAGGAACATATGAAGGCTAAACTAATTGAAATGAATGGAAATGCACAGGAAACCAATAGTAATGGAAAGGAAACTGGGACTCAAATCAAGGGAGCAGACCAGAAGGAAGGAAAAAATGACCAAACAGAAAAATATGAAGAAACAAGAATTCAAAAAAATGAGGAGAGGCTTAGGAACCTCCAGGACATGTTTAAACGTTCCAACATCCGAATTATAGGAGTAGCAGAAGGGGAAGAGGAACGGTTACGAGTGGAAACCTTATCTGAACAAATAATAAAAGAGAACTTCCCCATTCTGGCAAAGGAAATAGACTTCCAGGAAATCCAGGAGGTGCAGAGAGTCCCAAAGAGGTTGGACCCAAGAAGGAACACACCAAGGCACATCATCATTATATTAGCCAAGATTAAAATGAAGAAGAGAATCCTAACAGCAGCAAGAGATAAGGGGACAGTCACCTACAAAGGAGTTCCCATCAGACTGTCAGCTGATTTCTCATGAAAACCAAAGACCTACAACCAAGATTGCTCTAGCCAGCAAAACTTTCATTTAGAATGGAAGGACAGATAAAGTGCTTCTCAGATAAGATTAAATTCAAGGAGTTCATCATCCCCAAGCCCTTATTATATGAAATGTTAAAGGGTCTTATCTAAGAAAAAGAAGATAAAAAAGATGAACAGTGAAAGGACAGCAAACTCACAGTTATTAACAACCACACCTAAAACAAAAGCAAAGTAAGAGGACAGCTAGATCAGGAGCAGAACCATAGAAATGAAGATCACGTGGAGGGTTAGCAACAGGGGAGTGGGAGAAGGAGAAGGGGGGAGAAGGTACAGAAAATAAGTATCATAGACAGTAGATAGAAAATAGATAGGGGGAGGGTAAGAATAGTATGGGAAATATAGAATCTAAAGAACTTGAGACATGTGTTCATGAACTAAAGGGGGGGAATAGTGGGGGAGGGGTGTGCAGGGTGGAGGAGAATGAAGGGGGAAATAGAACAAATGTAATGGCATAATCAATAAAATAAAAATATATATTAAAAATTTTTTAAATAAAATTTAAAAATTTTTAATTTTAGAAAAATACCTTCCACATTATCATGGAAAATCCTTTAAGTGCTGTTTACTATATGGCATGACATGACTGATCAGTGTGCCTTATTTTTAAAAATTCATGTTTAGAAAACAAATCAGGTAGACAGCTAGGCTAGGATATTTTAAATGTGTTCTGATTTACCCAAATTTAATATGAAATGTATAGGGACCCCTCAAAGGAAAGCAAACCACACTGCGATGCTTGTTTTAACATCCTAACATCCCCTCTACGGTCTGGAGCTACCAATGAAACACTTTAGCAATTCACACGAATTCCTTTAGAAGGAGCTGCCTCCCCACGACATCCAGCAGGGCACCCTCGGGAGAGACTGGAAAGGCCCGAATGCCTATCTGCTGCAGAGGGGATGGGTTCCCAGAGGACGGAGGACTATTAGTGGTCTGAACAGAAAACCAATTAGCCTGCTAGAGAGAACAAGAGCCCATACCCAAACAGGTCGGTAATGTTTAAAAGCAGCTTCACTTTCCTTGTGCCCTTGGGGGAAGAAAGTACTTACAGGTGCTCCCTAGTGGCCCAGATCTCACAGAGCCAGATATAATCAGATGCTGCTCCGTGCAGGACCAGCCCCCCCAACCCACACCCCCGCATGCCGCCCTTCTCCCAAGGCTCAGCTCACACTTAATTACCTAGGATCTAATTGAAGTCCAAAAATAGAAAATGAGGCTATAAGACCCTCTCCCCTTTTCTTCTCTTCTTTACCACCGAACCGTTAAAGAGTCTACCACCCTGAATGAGAAAGCAACCCATCTTAGCAGTCTGCCCTGGTTCAGCCTCTGTTCATACTCGGGGAAGCTTCAACACACCCGGATTGCAAAGTAGTTCACGCCGTACATCTCCAGGTCCTGAGCTATCTTCAAATATTCCATTTCAGCTTCGTCCCTGTGGGGAGAATGAAAGACATTGTCAGTGGAGCTAAGTGAGAAAACTGGAGGGCAGGTGCCCGCTCATCTGAGCACTCAAATCAAATCTGCCAGAAGACTCAAGCCAGAGCAGACACCGTAAGTCTCTTCCTAACCTCGAGCCTGTTGAATACAACGAGGTCAGGCAGAATTTCCTGTTCCCGTAGAAATAAGAAAGCAGATTCCATGCAGTGTCTCTCGGCTTCCATTCCATGATTTGCCCTTGGTCAACAGTAACACCTGCCTCGTAATTCAAGAAAATCACATGGTATGTTATCAGCTCCCCTCAAGTGGATTTGAATGTTCACATTTTATTTAAGTTGCTACTTTATTTGATTGTGTTCTTTCTTCACTTAGAAGGTTTCAGTGATGAAACAATTCTCCCTGCACGTTACTAGGAGCTACCCTTCTGATTTTCTTTCTTTGGGTGCTGTTGAAAGTTAGGGTAGGAGCTACAGTCTGTAAAACCCAAGCCAGGTCTTCTACTTGTAAGCTGTAAGTCAAATGTAAAGAAAGCTCTTGAAGTAGCAATGACTTGGAAAAAAAAACAAAACTCCCCAATGGGCACAGTATTGAAATGTTTTAAGTCAAGTCTCCCTATGACCTTGCCTTCTTCTCTCACTCTCCGATCTCAAAATGCTCTCAAACGAACTTTAAAAATTCACCCTGGGAGAATGCCAAGTGTTGGCAAGCAGGTAGAGCGACTAGAAATGATGCACACTGCAGATGTAAATTGGTACGATTACTTCGGAAAATTGTTTGACATCACGTGTAATAGCAAAAGACAGCAGACAACTCGACAGTGTAAATGTCCATCCACAGCAGAATGGAGACATAATGTGGTTTATTAATACAGTGGAAGGATACATAACAATGAAAGGGGGAAAAGCAAACAAGCTACTCCTACATGCCACAAACCCAGATCTCCAAATATGACGATGAGTAAAAGATGTGACAGCCAAAACATAGAAACTATCTGGCTGCGTTCGTATCAAGTTCAGAACAGGCATCACTGACCTAGGGAGCCTGCAATCGGGAGAGAGACTCCCTCTGGGGAAGGAGGGAGAGGGACGGGGGGCCGTGTGCTGTCCTATTGTCTACCGTTACTTGGTATTTTTGCTTTGTGATAATTCATCCATCAGTATATTATTTATGACGTGTCCACTTTTCGGGATGCATGTAATATAAAATGTTCATTTGAAACAGAGAAAAAAATATGTTAAAGGTGAATGAAAAAAGGATCAATTCCTAAAGTGATCAGGGAAATGCTGACTGAGATGTAAGATACAATTCTTTACCTTTTAGATGATAAAACTTGCATGGATAAAAACAAGCGATGGGGAACAAAGGGGGTTAGAGACACTCCCATGTATGCAGATGGGCATGTAATTGGGTGCAACCTTGGTGGAGGGCAATTTGCTGGCACCTGTCGAAGCTCAAAATGCTCATACCCTTTGACTTGGCAACTCTTCCAGAGGCTCCATGGGCCAAGCCACCTGTACCCCTCCAGAAGGACCTAAGACAGTGTGTACTGCAGAAAGACTGGGTTGCGAAAGAGAAAAACTACAGCTCTTCCCAATGCTGTCAGGAGAGGAAGGGGCGCGAAAGCTATGGGACATCTACACAATAGAATTCTTCCAGTGAAACTAAATCACCGGCGAAGACAGCAGGTCTGTACATCCTGACAGGCGCTAAGTGCCTACAAGCACTAGAAAAGGATATACACAAAACTGAGCAGCACCGGCATTACTCCCAGCTCTCTCTTTTCTTTTATAGACTTCAGCAAAGCACTTTGTTCAACAAGCATGTCCTAGTTTTATAGTTCTTAAAAAAAAAATCCCATGAAGAAATGTAAACCCAGAATGAAGCAGCCTCACCTGGCTCGGCCTCGGTGCTCTGCGTACCAGGCTGTAATTCTCTCCTCCCACATTTCTGGAGTCATTTGATACAGATTTATTACCTACCAGAAATATAGAGCAAAAAAAAAAACAAAAACCAGACATAGAGACAAAGTTTTGGTATTACTTGCCATTTTTGTAATTACGCATCATGTTGACAAAATAGCACAGCTATTTTTAAAAAGCACATGCAGGGAGATAGTCGCATGCAGAGGTGGGTGTGTAAACAAGCACCATTCCATCTGAGTCACAACTCAGAGAGCTGCACCATTATTCAGGCCTGGGTGCACCCCTTGCCCGGCAGGGGCCCCTCTTTCCCGAGCTGTGCATCCCCGAGGGAGGACCTCGGTCGGGGCCAGCCAGCTGGGCAAGGCTGTGCGTGCTGCTGCCTTCACCAGCCCGCACAGAAGCTATCAAAGGGGCAGGTAAAGTCAGGGGAAGGTGAGCAGCAGGCCTTTATTACATGTGATGGATGAGTGGAGCTATAAAATCAGAAGCAGCGAAAGGGAGGGAGGGCCTGCTCCTTTGGCTAATGAACAAGATGAACAACAGCAAGGATTAAAAACTGCAGGGCCCACTCCTCACTCATCTCCTCTCTCCAGCCCGAGCAGCTGCTAATGGCTCTGCTCCCTGGGCCATGAACGCAGGCCGCTCCACACTCCTCTGGAATCGCTGATGCCCACTCACCTTTCATGGGAAGACCCTTTGCAGGCTGTGCTAGTCCTGGTGACCCCAAACGAACCCCTTGAACCTTTGCTTTTTAATATTCTTAATGGAGATTCTGTCTGAGATTGATTACAAAATATTTATAATCATGCTCTTGCCATGTGCTCCCATTATCCCTTCAAGCCCTTTAGTTAGCTTTCTCGTAGACCACACATCTGCCTGCCTGCCCGAATTGGGAATTTGATTTCTTACCCTTTTTGGAAGCAATTCCTCTTGGGCCAAAAATCCCCGCTTGTGAACAGAGGGGTCATAGTCCCCATACTGGAAAGACAAGAAAGAAAAAGAGAGTGAGTGATTGAGATTCGAGAGACAACTGTCATTTCCAAGCGGCTGGCCTCAGTCTCAATTCCTTCCCAGCTCCAGGGAGCAATTCAATTCTGATGACAAGTCAAGATTTCAACCTTGCTAGTTTGTTATCCTTGAATGAAAATACAAAGGTGATTATGTCTATAAACAGAGTTGCGAAATCCCTGTGGGGGATGTGCTAATAAGAATGTGACATTTGTTCGGAAAGGGAGCTGTGTTTTCTAAGTGGCAAAGAAGGCAGTCCCTACCAAAACATCAGCTTTCCGAATGCGACTACAAAACACAACTGTGAAAGTTGTGATTAGCAAGGTGTGATAAGAGCCTTACCTACAAATGCTTCTAAGTGGCTGGTAATTGGAGCCAATTGCTAAGGGGGAGCTGGGAATAATGCTGGCAATATTTGTAATACCTTTCATTGAAGGCTCTGAAAAAATGCTTTAGAAAAATGTGACACCAACACTGTCATTCATGTCATACAGACAGAGAAACAAGTACAAGGGCTTTCCTAAGGGTGCAGAGCAAGCCGCTAGGAAGGCCAGGAACGGACTATGCATTTTAATGTGTTCTTCCTGGGGAATAACTGGGAGATTTATTTTTCTGATTTAAGAAAAAGAATCCTTTTCTTTCTTAGGAAACTGAAGGATGACCAGGAAATAATAAAAAAAAAAATGATGGCATTTTGAAACAGAAACCAACTATAACACAGAGAGTATCAAATCGGAGCCTGTGTCTTGTCAATCAGTATTCAGTGGCTTTTCTTTCGACCAAACCAACAAAACTCAGTATCTTAGTAGACTCTTCTATAGAGATTTATCATTTTAGCCACCAACACTGGAAAAACAAAAGACAGCTCAGGCACAAAGCTGTTGGCTCTCTGTACCACCAAATCGGGTCAGGATGAGGCCCATCTTGTCGTTCCCAAAGGTCCTCAAGCTGGACTTGTGGTATGTTTCTCGAATGAGGTCATACACCCAACAACATCCGCTCACATTCGTCTGCCACTTTCAATCGTATCTCATTCCCACACCACCCTCCTATAACAGCCCCGCAGATTAATATTTCTCATGAATCTCATAATTAAGGCAGGAGGGCACTGCCTTGTTTTTTGAGTGCTAATGAAATTAATGTGTCAAATTTAAACATTTTCAATATGCCACAGGGTTTGTGGCCCCGTCTAGGCGTGTCTCCATTTAAAAGAAGGTGAAGGAGCCTGGTGCGTCCTTATCTCTGAGAGGCCCGGGGAAGCGGTGAGTCAGCCGCTCTGAGCTTTGGTGGCGCTGTCTCAGGAGGCAGGCTGCTTAAGATTCAACCCCAACTCTTCCACTGACTAGCTGAGGCCTCAGAGAAGCAGTGTCTCCGGTTTTTCATCTATAAAATGGGGATAATAACAGTATTTATCTTCTAGCACTCTCAAATAACATAAGTACCCTAAAGTTCAAAAAATGATGGTTGACACACAGCACTCAAGACGACCTGGTGTTAACAGATAAAAATTCCAGTTGAGTCACCTCTCTGAGTGTTTGACCTCATTTGTCAAATGACAGCCTTGGTCTTAGAGAATTTTGAAGTGGGGACTGCAGAATATCCGCCTGGAGGCTGGAGTAAGCCACCCTTCCTCTAACCCTCAGCTTCCTTATCGGGAAAGCAAGGGTCATAATAGGGCCTGCCTCCTACAAGCTGCTGAGAATGAAGTACGAGAGAACCTGGGTAAGCATTTTGCATTGTGCTTGGCTCAGGGTTAATGTCTCACATTATCATTACCCTCCACGTTGTTTATAATGACACTGGTTGCCTCCTAGTTTTGAAGGGGTAGGATGCTAAAGAAAGCCCTGTTAGCTGCATTTGCAAGCTTCTCAAAGAGTGCTGATCAAGCCCTAATGCAAAAGTAAGCAGGCATGCAAAGTTAAAGTTGTAAATTCAGGTTCCAAAGGCTTGCAAGAGTAATGATCCACATTATCATACTGAGCTCCCAGCTACTCCGTGGACCCAGCAGCTTGCACCTGAGCGATTGCAGAAGCAGCGAAGGCCTCGCTGAAAGAGCTTGCTGCTGGACTAACTTCACCTGCAACATCAAAGCCACCTTGGTGTATGTGTCTGCTTTTAAATGCCTCTTTAAAAAACAAAAGAACAAGAAAATCCTTAAGTTGTGGCAGTTGGTGAATATAAGAGGAAGTCCTACCGCACCATGGCCGGAAATGGCGGTTCCTCATCCTTTTATGTACGGAAGCATTTCTGATAATATCACCAGGACTGAATTTACTGTGAAGCTAATGAAGCTGGGCTTTCAAGTCTCTGCACTGAATTTTATCCTCGTAATTTGCATTCTTGCCTTGAAAAGAACCTCGTATATTACATAAACTTCAGGCCCCACAAAACCTGGATCCAGCCCTGATACAAACCCATTGAATTTAAATTTGAGAAGGGGCCTCACCATTTTACAGGATTCTCGGAGTCAGTTCTTATGTGAAACAGAGATATTTAATACCCTTCTGGATGTTAAATACTTTCTTCTGCCTACATGTATAGAACATTACCCCAAATTCTCAGAACAGGAGTTCATGAAACAGAAAGATTTAATTAATACATACACAGCATAAATCATTAGATCCCTACCACACATCAGTCACTAAAACACAGATGGATTAAAGACTTAGGCCATAAATGAAAATCTATCAAAACACAAGAACAAAATGTGGAAGAACATGTGTATAAAAATGGTGGGTGAAGCTGTTCTAAAATAAAAGTCACTCAAAACACAGAAACAGATCGACAGTCTGACACGTAAAAAAAAGGTTAATACCCATCAGATGTGGAACTCTTATAAATCAATAAGATAAACAATAGAGTAGAAAAATGAGACGTCACAAACTCTTCACTCACAGGGGAAAGCAATACAATGGTCAGAAAATCTATGAAAAGAGGCTCAGCCCCAGTGGTAATCAAGGAAATGAAAACTTTTCTAAAAAATCTATTTTTTTTGGGGGGGTCGAATTAGCAAAAATGTAAAGGACGAATAGCATCCACGAGAATGTGAAAAATAGGCGTTCTCTCATCCCGTTCTCAGAAGTTAAATCAGGGTGCTTTCAGAGGGCGATTGGGCTGTATGTTTTCTTTTTTAGATAAAATTTACATGTATAAATTCATCATTTGAGGCACATAATTTAGTGGTTTCTAGTAAACTCAGAATGGTTGCAACTATCACCACCTAATTTCAGAACATTTCCATCCCCCCCCCCCCAGAAGCAACCGCACACCCAGGAGCAGTAACTCCCACTCTCCTCCTTCCAGCCCCCGCAGCCGCCACGAAATCCACCGTCTCTACAGGTTTGCCCATTATGGACATTTCATGGAAATGAAATCACACTATAGGCAGCCTTTTGGGTCCAGCTTCTTCCACTTAGCAGTTTTTTAATTTTAAATGTTCTTATCCTGTGACCCAGTTACGCCATTTCTTGGTTATCTACCAGAGAAATATTGTTCATAAGTTCCTATTCAAGGATGTTTGCTACATCCTTCTAAGTGACAGAAAAAAAATAATAGGAAAACCCCCCACAAATCTAAATGTCTACTGATAAAGAGATATTTAAACAATCTGGAGTCCTTCCTTTTTATGAAAAGCAGTTTAAAAAAATGAGATGGGTCGGCCTGTTTGGACAGTTTTAAGTGAAGAAGGCATGTCGTGAAGGAGTCCCTGTGGCACAGAGCCACCGAGGAGTGGGATTTGGGAACTTCCGGGGAACTCTGGGCCGTCTCCTCACCCCGCACTCTGCAGAGGTCACGCCAGTTCCCACCCAGCCCCTTCCAGCAAGTAAATGAGCTTAAACAGTGCTTCTACAGATTCAGTATCCTCGTCAATCTTATAGGTTTGGAACGTTACCTATTGTTCCTGATTTTTCGTTCTTTTGATTACTAGTGAGATTGAACATCTTTTTCTTTAGAAATATTTTTTAATTGATTTTAGAGAGAAAGAGAGTGGAGAGAGAAAAAGAGAGGGAGAGAGAGATCAATTTGTTGTTCTGCTTACTGATGCATTCATTCATTGGTTGCTTCTCATGTGTGCCCTGACCAGGATCAAAGCTGTGACCTGGGTGCATCAGAACGACGCCCTAACCAACTGAGCACCTGGCCAGGGTGGAGCATCTTTTTGTATTTACTGATCATTCTTGTTTTCTCCACACCCTTTGTGCCCATTTTTCTGCTACCTTTTTCTTATACACTTAAGACTTCTTTATATTCAGGGATATTTATTTAATTCCACTTCTGGAAACCTACCTTAAGGGGAGAAAGCTTTTGCACATTTATACCAAAAATCATATAAAAGGATTTTTAGTAAAACACTGTTTATGTAATAGGGGAAAAGTAGAAACTAAACCTGCCTGTTCCTCAGAAGGGGGCTGGATAAATACGCTAGGTTTATTCATCAGTGGTTACCATATAGTGGTTAGAGTCACTGAGCTCAGTCTATACATAAAACACAGATATACCTTTTAGTCAATGTTGAATGGGAAAAAAAAAAACATCATTCTGTAAAAGGATATGCAGAAAAGATATGCAGAGTATAGCACCCTTTAAAATATCAACTTTTACCTTCTGTTTTTTTTCTTTAAGAGGTGCGGACCTCATGGTCTCTCCCCAGGACGACCACCATTGCCTGCTAACAGGTCTCCCTGTTTTCAAACTTGTCTCTCACTCCCACGTGTCCTTCACTAAGCCAACAAAACTCTGTCTAAAATATAAACCCTTCCCTAGCTCTTTATCACCCACAGGATACAGTTAAGACCTTTTATGATCTAGCCCCTTACAGACATCTGTGGCCTCGTCTCTTGCCACTCTACATACACTGTACATACACCCAACTTCTTCATTGCCTTTGGCGCTCTCTCCTTAATTTGTACCCAAGAACACTTTTTAGGAAACAGTAAGTCTCCTCCATTCCCTTCCCCCTCTGAACACTAGGACCCTGCAGGCCAACACTGCAAGACTGAGAAACTGTGTACCATTCTCTCCCATTTTTAACAAGAACGCATCCCAAACACCAAATCGTCAATACAAAACCCAACAGGTGGACCACAACGTCGCAAGACAGTTTGCGGTTGCCACCCGACTGCACCAAAAAACCAGCCCCTACTTTTGATTCAAGTGTAACTCTAGCTCCAACCAAGAAATGTGGCTCTTGTTAACTGAACCATATGATTAATATTTGTATTTAGACTTTGAGGGTAATTGTTTCTTTATGCTTCGGAATTAACTGTGTCTATATCATTCAAACAGCTAAAACACTGTAATGAATACATTTGTGGATAATTACGTTCCATGTGTTAATGAGCTCGATTCACTTTCCCCTCCACACTTCTGAAGTTCCTTTCTGTTTCAGAAAAGGTTGTGGAAGAAAACACACTGAACATAACAGACGGAACCAGTACAATTTACTGAAAAGTCTGGACCAATGCGATTATGGCGGTGAACCTGGGATTTAGTCAACGGCAGTGCACGCCGCCCAGGGACCTCCCTCACACACTAGACAGTGAGGCATAGGCACAAAGTGCTGAGCTGGCCAATGAGACAGCAGCTTTCTCACCGGGCTCCATTCTCTGGTTCTGTTCTGCTTGAAATCCTGTCCATTGAGGCGTGGGGTACAAATTCCATTTTTTAACAAAGAATTCATCCAAAGTACTGAGACTTTAGACAAATTATATTACTCCTTTCCGAGCCTTAAATTACTCAGCTGAAAAACAGGCATAATACTTTCAAGCCTTGGCTTACTGCAAAGGCTGTATACTAAGTATCGCATGAAATATTCATGTTAAAACACTTTGTAAAACTGTAGAACACTACAGGCATGTAAGATCTTATTGCTATTATTATCAGGAATATCCTTTTAATGTTAAGCAGCAAACCTGGAAACTGGGAGCATGTTATATAATAATCCTTATTTTTCCAAATGCAGACTTGAAATCATAGATTAGCTTTATTTGTGAGCTCCTGCGAATTTACACCGGAAAAAACAGAACAGCCTCTTCCATATGAACCCCATATGCTCTCTGTGAGTCACTTTCATCTCTAAATGAGTAGGATTCAAATTAGTAGGGCTTTCCTACAGTAAAATCTGTTTAAGCAAACATCTGCTGGTTCCCAGGAAAGTTTTTTATTTATTTTTTTCCCACAGGTGGCCTTTGCATTTGCGGCCCAAAGTCCATGCAGAGAAAATGTAACCTTTGAGCTGGAAGCCCTTCCAGGAGAGGTAGTGTCCTTGAGAGCGCAGGTCTCCTCTCAGCTGGAGAGAAAGCGTGCTAAACAGGAACCCAATTCCCGGCCAGGAAGTGCTCAGATTTAATGAGAGCAACAATGACTGCTTCATCACTGTCAGGGTGATACTGATTGAAAGGACACATTTTTCCTGTTATTAATATTCTTAATCAAAGCCTAAAAGGAAGCATATGTTTTAGTTGAATCAAGGCCCACTTTCCGTATTTTTCAATTACTCATTTTGCTGGGCAGTGAAGTAGGGGAGGCACAAAATGTCATCCCAAAGCCATGAATTCTGTCTGCTTGTAGCTTTCCCCCAAGATCACCCGAAAGACCTCGGGCACATCACTGAGGGAGGATACTTGCATTAGTGTCTGTACAGTGACTGGGTCAACACTGCCCCCTCCTCAGGCCAATGGACGTTCGGCAAATATCAGACCTGTTACCAAATGACTCTGGTATTCTTCTGTCTGTCTGTCTAGTATGTACAGAATTTTGTGCCTCTCCAAATGACAGGCTAGCTATTTCCTGACTTCAATCTGAAATTGCATTAATTTTTGTAACACTACAGGGAAATGGCTTTACGGACACCTCTCACTAGGAAGAAAAATACTAACAACAGATGATCCAAAATCACAAAAGTAATCAAGGCGTCCTAATTCTGGGATTTCTCATGCTGCAGGGACAGGCAGTGAGCAGAGGGATCAAGAGAAAGTGGCATGTGACTGAAGCGGACCCCGAGGGACATCACACCCCTTGGGCTGACCCTGTGATTGGTCTCATGAAAACAAGGAGCGCAAAACCACAAGGCCATCGGCCTCCTTTCCCGCCACTCTTGTGTGGACCTCACAGTCTCTCACTGGGATGTGACGTCTCTGGGAGACACCTTTCTGCTAACCAGACAGCTCAGCTGGGCTCCAAGGGCCCAAGAGCCTGCAGTGCCTGGCCACCAGCAAGGTGGCATGTCCGTCAGGGTGGGTGAAGCGGGGCACTCTGTCTCCAGGGAGTGGTGAGGTCCCCACACAACAGGGCTGCTGGTCCTCAGAAGATGGGTTTGGAATGCAAACCTGGGCCTTTCTGAACTAAAGGCCATGTTTGGCCCAACCTGGAGATCGTTAAGTTCCTTTTTCCTGGTTATATGCACAATGAGATTACAAAAAATATATATCAAGCTATACACTTATTTGTACACACACACACATACACACACATACACACTCACAAGATTATACAGAAGTGAAACATTGACACTTGGTTCCCCCAGTTCACAAGTTCCACGACCTCTTGCTTGCTGGGGAAAGTCTCTCTGAAGCCTGGAAAATCCCAAGACACAGATGGCCAGAGTGCCCCTGCAACACATGTTAACACCCGGGAAAAATACATTTTTCTTTGCGCCTACCTTGGCCTGGACGGCGTAAGAAGCCAGGAGCACAGAAGCCTCAGGAGGGCAGTAGATCTTTTCATCTAAGATCTGCTTCTTTACCTGAAAGGGCAACAAGGCAGACACACTGTGTGCACAGAGGTGGTCTGTGCATGCTGCCCACAGCAGGTGGCTGCAGGGTGCTCATGGGGGCTGCCAGACCGGCCTGCTAATGGTTTTCTGACAAAAGGCACCATTTTTTTTTAAAATTACTGTTGCAGACAGGTTGTGAGTTCAGCCGCAGAGAGCTTACTGGTAAGATGGCCATGCGTAAAAAAACCTGTATCTGCTCTGTTCACGATCAAATGCTGACGAGGAAAAACAACCTTCCCGGTTAAAACGGGACTAACATCTGGGCTGTGACAGAAGAGAGCTGTGAACTTGACAAGTGTCAGGAGCAGCCCTGGTGGTGATCGCAGCCCGGGGCCCCCGCTGAGAACCCGCAGCACGAGAGGAAATGGAGTCTACTTTTAAGTCTTAACACGAGATAAAAGCCAGCGAGGCCACTGAGTTATGACTGCGGAAAAAAACCATCACTTTCAATATGCATGCTCTAAGGAAAAAGGAAGCAATAAAGTGTGATTGATTAAAATTTTAAGTACACGTGAGGTCCAGGAAATATAATTCTTAAAGCCATAATGCCGAATTAACATATCTTACTGCATGTAACTTCTGAGAATGGTGCAGTGTGTGACGTTCCGGACGCAGAGGCGAGAGAGCCACATGAAGTGGGGCACACCAAAATCAACACCACAGGGAAGCCACCATGGGGAAGCCACCTCGCTTCCCACAGATATCAGCAGTCACCAGATTCATAAAAGTAGGAAATTTTGCCTTGCTCAGCCATGAAAATGTCCGACATTTCAATGCAATGGAAGATGAAGCCAAAGTAATGCAAGGGATGGGCACTGCTCCCAAGAAAGCCATCCCTAAAATACTAGGACATTCTGGGGCCTTAGGCGGTCATTACATGGTTTCCTTCAAAGCAGTGTGACTTCCTAATCCCTTGTTTGTTTGTTTTTTCAAAGGGGGAAAAAATGCCACACTATAGAAAAATTGAAAGGGCTTCCCTTCAAGTGGAAAATGTTAGCGGGGAGTGTGCATGGTCTATCTGTAAAAAGTCCAGCCACTGTTAATAGAAAGAGAATGGTTTGCACATCATTGATGTAACCTGGCAGCCAAAGAGAGTGGACTGAAATGCACATGCGTGAACCATGACGACTTCACTGTACTAGTCAGTGGGGGCGGTAGACGCTGTTGAGTGAGCATGTGTACTGTGTGGCAGTCACATTCAAAATGACTGAGTGAGTACAGCAGTGTCAAATTTTGCATTAATCTTGAACATTCCTTTGCAGAAATTACTGGGGTGATTCAGAAGGCAACTGGTGACTGGCAGCTTCATCATGACAACGCACCCGCTCACGCATTACACCTCATGCAGAGTTTTTTGGTGAAACTTCGAATCACCCAGGTACCCAGCCCTCTCTACAGCCCAGATTTGGAGCGCTGCGCCTTCTGGCTTTTCCCAAAACTAAAATTGCCTTTGAAAGGGAAGAGATTTTAGACTGTCAAAGAAATTCAGGAAAAAGCTGATGGTAATTGGAAGAGCTGTGTCAGGTCCCAAGGTGCCTACTTTGATGAAGACTGAGGTGTCATTGTTCTATGTACAATGTTTCTTATATCTTGTATCTTCTTCAATAAATGTCTCTATATTATGTGGATGGATACCTTCTGAACAGACCTTTGTGTGTATGCATGTATATATGCTTTTTTTTTTTTGCAAACCTTTCTTTGGTAAAAAAAAAAAAAACTGTCTGGGGGGCCCTCAATGGTGTGGTTCAGTTGGTTGGAGTGCCATCCCATAACCGAAAGGTTGTGGGTTCGATTCCTGGTCAGGGCATATACCTATGTTGTGGGTCCAACCCCCATCCAGGTGCCTGGGGGAGGCAACCAATGAAATCTTCTCTGTCACATCAGTGTTTCTCTCTCTCCCCTCACCTCTCTCTAAAATACAATGAAAAAATGTCCTTGGGTGAGGCTAAAAAAAATTATTTGGAGGGTTTCACCACAGTTAACTTAATATTTTCTGAACACATTACTCACAGGAGGACTGTGCAACAGACCATGCATCTCTGTCTGAGAAGTCAACTAACATCCCTGCTGTAACCTTTCCCGTCCCTGAGGGGGGCACCTTGATCACACACGCAGTTCCCGCACTGATCACTGTAGTAACTAATCGTGAAAACTGGGGAAGCTCTCTGATCAAGCAGTAAAGACACAAGCAAAACCGACAAGGTTTCTGTCCTCACACTAACCCACCCCTTGCTGTGTCCTCGGATGGTCAACTAGCTGTCTTTGAACCTGTAGCTATGGGTCTCCCAATTTCTTCAATTTGGCTGAGTGATTGTGCGTGGAAGGCCCACTGTGTGCTCCATGAGTTTTGCCTTTAAGGGGCTTGTAATCCATGAGGGAGTCAGGGAGGAATAAGACAATTATTGACAAACAGCAGCACAAAGCACACTGTCTGAAGTTCTACGTGCGTGGGATCAACCAGGCGTCACCGGAATTCTGAAGTCCTGCCTTAATGAGAACAGATTTTGAACTTCTGGGAGAACTATTCTTCATAAGGCTCTCTGTAGGCTTCTTGTGCAGCCCTTGAGTACTTTCAAGTTAGTGAGAAGAAAACAGAACCTCTCTTCAAAGAGGTTTCAAATTAGGCAGCTACTTGTACCCATTCCTTTTTCTTTTTTTAAAAAAGATTTTATTTCTTTTTAGAGAGAGGGAAAAGGAGGGAGAAAGATAGGGAGAGAAACATCAATGTGAGAGAGAAACACCGATCAGTTGCCTCGCACATGCCCCCAACCCGGGACTTGGCCCGCAACCCAGGCATGTGCCCTGACAGGGGATCGAACCAGCGACCTTTCAGTTCACAGGCTGATACTCAATCCACTGGGCCACACCAGCCACGGCCTACCCATCTTTTCACCATCACACTTCTGCAATTTCATCGGACACCAATTCTCATCACTCAGATATAATTGTAGTCTAAAGATTTTTTCCATTACAGAACCAAAAGGTCTAACTTTCTGGGGATGGAATATTTTCACAGTGTGAAGTTTTTCTGGTCAACTCCAATGGGTTTGTCCAGGTCACCTCTGCAACCAGGGCCGAGTGAGGTTTCCCATCATGGAGGGGATAGGACAGACTAGTGTACCTGCAAGAAGAATAAATGTTGCGTGATTTCCTGGACCAGCTCCTCCTCAGCGTTCTCAGGATAAAATTTGGCCAGGAAGTGGAAGGTGACCGGCTCTTCCTTCGAAACATCGTGATCCAAAACCTGCAGAATCACAGAGCAAAAGACAAACAAGCCGTGTGGGCACCTCTTTCTCCCACGCCCTTGTCAAAGAAACTTTCTCAGGGAGCGTACAAATATTTTTTCCCCTCTACATTCATCACATTTCCCAAAGGCTGTGTGATTCTTCAGTTTGAAGCTCTCACAAAGCCATCTATAACAAGAGGTAATACTCACTTCAAATGGCATTTCTGTACTAAGTTCATTAATCTCCCCAAGGGGCGAGTGGAGCTAAGATTTAGGCACAAATGTTCTCAAGGCCACGGAGAGAGTTAAAAATCAGAAATTTATGACTCAAAGGTCTTGGGCATTACCCTTTATGGCAGGCTGAATGTTTTTAAATTTTTTTTTGAACTCATGGATTATGTCTTTATTCTCTGTTTTTCGGCTGCCAACCCCCAACCTTTAAGTCCATACTGGAATGGAGCTTAGGATGATGAACTAAATCTTTGGGACATCAGTTACACATTAACTGAGCAACAGAAGTGAAACGTGTCCATCGTGGCAACCCTTTGTTTTCAGGAACCTCTGGAGATGCCCCACAAAATACTTGAGCACAATCGGTAAACCACACTGCCTTTAATCTTCCAGCAATTTCACCCACCCACCGAAACGCCTGAACCATCTGCTCTGCAGAATTAATTTCCCTTCAGGCCATGAGCACGCCACGTGACAGGCTCCATTCACACGTGTCAGAGTTTATTTCCTTCGAGCAGCGGGCGTTGCGGCTCCTGATGCCCCCGGTCCAATATCCATTCGGCCGGCACTCAGTGTATGATTTAAAAATTGACTTTGCTGAGAATCACAAAGAGACACAGAAAGTTCTGCTGCTTTTGAGAGCTCACTTTCCATGCCCCTGCCCACATTTTAATTGGTGGTGCCCAGGAGATTCGAAATCACCCTGACCTAGGGCGACCTTGCTAACATCGGCACAGGGGACACTTTGATCTCCAGGGTCCAGAATTAGCGTGTGAAATTCATCATCAGCAGGAATTCTAACATGTAGATTCAGATTAGTGCGTGAATGAACACTTGAATTTAAAGTCAAACTGATAAAACACAGGCGGCTTTTCTTGTTTATCGTGCCACAAAATAGGTAATAAACTCAAGGGGGCAGTTGCAGGGGATTCCATTGGGGGCAAGAATTAGACACTGATTCCTTTGAGAGCAGGTATCTTTCAAGAGTTACTGACAAAAGCATAGGGCCATTCTCACCCATCTTCATGGTCAGGTGGGCAGTTAAGCAGGTAAGTATGTCTTTGTACGCATGTATGAACCCACGGAGAGGGCAGTTTCCCTAGTCAGTATTCCTCTCTAAGCCACACTAGAACTGCTGGGAGCCCGCACTTGTCCAGGCCTCAGAAGCCCCAGAAAATCATGGGGTCTAGAAGAACAGTCTTCCTTCCCCACAGCGACCTGAGCACTCTGTATTCCTTAGATCGCGTTGATGATTAAATTGAGTTGGGCCGTGGTGTTTCTCAAAAAAGCTTTTAAAATTTCATAAAGCACATGAGCCCCAAGAACATCTTTCAAAGACATATGTTATAAACATACATATATAATTTTTATTCATAAAGCCTGCCCAGTGGCTCAATAAATTGAGCAGCATAAAGCCAGAAGCAATCAGCCTGGTGACCGTGAGTAAAGTGCCCAGGGATCGCAACAGTTTGATCTCGGTTTGTTCTGCTTGCCCAGAGAGTCTGTGAGCAGTAGAGGGCCTGGGGCATCTCGAGGACCTGCTTTCTGCAGGACTTGCCCCCTTTCTCTGCCCTCTATCCGTCATGCCCCATGATGAACAAATACCCCGAGCCCGTGCTCAGGACAGGACCAGAGCACACACCAGCCCCACTGGTGTCCTCCGGTTCCAGCCCAACCTTCTTGTCCATCTTGAGCCAGGCCACGGTGTCCTTGATGGTGTACTGCAGTCCAAAGAACCAGGTCTCCCGAAGCCCCAGGGTCCGGCACACCAGATCAAATAGGTCCTTCCCTTTCCACTTCATCTGCAATACAACACACCACAGGGGGAAGCAGAGTGAGCAAAAGCCATAGTCCACTCACACAAAACCTCTTCTCTGCACTCTCCGCTCTCGGGTTCCAAAGCGTGGCGATGACGCTGAGATGGCCGAGGAGCGGAGAATTCCTGCATCATTTTCAAGCTTCCTACGCACAACCACGAGTGAGAAAATACCAATTAGAGTTTAATGGCTTAATCACTGCAAAGCGTACACAGTACTTCCCCTGGACAGTTCCTTATAGACCTTAATATCCCCAAAGCTAATTTAGGGAAGTTGGTGAATAAGCATCCCCATTTAGGAGAGTCTGGTCTCTTGAGTTAACCCAGGGAGGTGGCTAGCTTCTAGGGACATTCATTTCCTTGAGATTTAGTCATTGATTTTTCTTTTTCTTTTTTTTTAAATATATTCTTTTTTTAAAAATTTTTTTCAATATTATTATTTATTTATCTTTAGAGGGGAAGGGGGGGAAGGAGAGAGGGAGAGAAACATCAATGTATGGTTGCCTTTTGTGCCTCCCCTGCTGGGAACTGGCCTGTAGGGAACTGGCCTGCAACCCAGGCATGTGCCCTGACTGGGAATCGAACCGCGATTGTGTGGTTCGCAGGCCCGCGCTCAATCCACTGAGCTACACCAGCCAGGTGGTCATTGATTTTTCAAAAAATCATAACCCTGCCCTTTCATAAAAGGTTAGTAGTATTGTGTGTGTGTGTGTGTGTGTGTGTGTTTAAAGGCTGCTTTTACTTGAAGTTTTCTGTTTTGCTTTGTTTTTTTTTTTTAAGCAACATAGGAAAGGAAGTTGTAACCAAAGTCATAAATCATGGAGAAAAAAAAATAGAGAACAGTCAGTCCAATCAAAGTTCTCTCCCATCACAATGAATAACTGAGGCCAAAGTGGAGGCACCTTGCCCATAGTCACACAGAGCAATTTCAGACTCTCAGTGCCTGAGCCAGGGGATGAATAGACTCCAATATACTGTACTGTGCTTATCCTATAGCCTCACTTTCAAAAGGACCTGAAGCAATGGCTGCTAAATCCTTTCCTCAGCTATTCAATCTTGTAGCTGGAAAAGCAAGTTCACTATCTTCACAGGGGAAGAAAATGCCCATCGGTTTAGTAAATGTTGCCACCTTGTGGCTTTCAAGTTAAATCACCCAAGATGTTCCCATACTACCCCTTAGCTGTGCTCACCCCCTACCCCTAAGGGGCCCCCAAGCACCAGGTGGACATTCAAATGTACACCCGGTACAGGAGCGTATGAGACACATCACAGTGTCGATGGTCATAGTAAGAACAATCTCGAGATTCAATTACAATGTCACCAGATGCCAGAAGAGCAAGCCCACTGAACTTGTCTCCCATAATTAGCGCACCAGTCCTTCTGCCCTCACTGAAAATCTCCACCCAGTTTCCAGCATACTGAAGATGCATGATGAAAAGAAAGGGGGGGGATGAAAAATCAGGGTTTAGAGACTTGGTATAAAAGCAAAAAGGAAAAAGTAAGTTAGGCCTCTAGTATCTGATTGGCTCTTGCTGAAACCCACTTCTACAGAGGATTTTTCCGGCCGGTCTTCTGGTTTTAATACATGTGAATGAACCGTACGTTCTCTATGAGGTGCTTGACAGCAGAGCCCACCCCTCTTCCGCGCTTGCGGTCGAAGTCAGAGAGCCCGGTAGCAGCCTGCATGGGAAGACACCAAAACCGCAGCAGCTGAGTGGCGGAGATACGTTTGGGCTTTTGTCCTTCACCAGGGCCATGTCTCCTACCTGTCCCTTCTCACTATGCTCCTGTCCCCTCTCTGGGACTTTAGTGAGGCCCCTGGAACACTACAAAGGTTGAAGTTTTTAGAAGTTATGCTGTGTAGAATAAATTGACAAGTTTTATTTTTAAAAAAGATGATCTCCTTCCCCTTGGGTGAGGTTTGGTAATGCTCGTTGGCACCCCCAGTTCCCAGCCTGACAGTAGGACAAAGGGTTTTTTAATTCACAGCGGGTTTAAATTCCTACAGGCAGACTCCACGGAAGAAATGTTGTTTTGGAAAACAAGAACCTTCAGGATGACGATTATTCTCTTGTCTCTGTTTTAAGGCAGTACATAGTACGTAAATTATAAATGACTACCTTGCTACAAGATAACGTAACGCTAAAGAACAGACATTAACTTGGAGAAGTTAAGCACTCAAGGGCCCAAAAGATCAAGGTAACAATTCCGAATCCTCCATACTGCACGGCCCTGGCCAGGCCGGGCTTTGGCACGCAGGGGCCCCGTCTGTAAACGGGCCGTGCGGGGCATCTAAAGGGAAGCTGCAAAAACAAGGACGCGTGAATTTCCTGACTTGGGAGTTAAATTCTCAAACATAATATCATATTAATGCAGTTTCCTTGTGTTCCTTTCTACTTCTTTGTTTTTAAAATGCAAAACTCTCTCTGTTGAATGCAGAGGCAATGTCTTTGTTCCCATGGAGCTGACAATAAAGTGAGGAGAGGGGGGGAAATGCTCGCTCTGGTTCAAAATGCCCTACTTAGATTTTTAACTTTGACTCTAAGAACTGGAGAATGTCAGAGCTAGAAATCAGCTTACCCACTGGGTCTCCCCACTGGAGACCCATCCTTTCTGTGAAAATAAGGAAACTGAGCCACAGATCCCTTGGCAGCCTCCTAAAGCAGACGCTGACCTTTTCCATGGTGACCCAGGGTGGGCAACCCTTACATCCCTGGTTGCCTTTTTTCCTGCTCCGTGGGGTCCTCGCCACTACGACTCCCCAGCCACCTTCTCCAGTAAGTAACCAGTATCTTACCACTCTTCTCCCTCCCTGAAATAAAATCCATTCTCAGAGGAGCCCAGTGCTGCTCCTTTGTAACTCACTGTGTGTTAATGCCTCGGCTGCCTCTCACTTACTCTTTCAGAAAGCATTACAAGGCACATCCCATACGCTGAGCAAGGTTAGACACTAAGGATGCCAAATGGTGGAAGCATGGTCCATGCAGGAGACTCACGCAAAGACTCAGGTCAGAGAAGGCTTTAGTGAATGAGTGAAAGGTGAAAGAGAAAAGGAAATGTGTCTTTCAGAAAGATAATAATACCTATAGGGACCTGCACGTCATCTGGTAGAGCTGAAACAGACGGCCTGAACTCAGGAGGGGTGGGGTGGAAAGCAGGGCACGACGTGGGGCCAGGTGGCTGCCCAAGGAGCCTTTGGAGACTTTCGGGCAGAGGAGTGATGGGATCGGATCCGATTCTGGGATGTGCGCTGATGGCAGGGTGGAGGACGAGTTGGAGGAAAGCAGCCTAGAATCAATAAGGACAGAAAGGAGGCCAACTCCTGCCTTGACAAAAGGCAGTGAGTGGGAGGCAGAGAAGACAGCCTGCGGAATGGGAAGAAGGCAGTCACAGGACTGGTGCCCGAATGCCAGCAGGGACCCAAGGAGAAAGAATCAAGGACACCTGTGTTTCTGGCTTGGGCACCAGGTGGTTCCTTTAAGGGAGAGAGAGAACCGCAGGAGAAGCAGCAAGTTTCAAGGGGAACAGATGAGCAATTAAATTTAAGACAAGATACGTTAAGGTGCCTGAGGAGACCAGGTAAAATGTCCTAAATACATTTGATTTAAAGCCTTAGCTAAAATAAAATGTTCAATCTTTAAGTAATTAAAATTTTTCTTGTAGGTTAAATCCAAGCACCAACATGTTGTTTACTGATCTGAGGATGTACTTTCCAAAAATACCCTCCCCAGAAAGCATGAGGCTTGCTGAGTGGTCCTAATTTGGGTTTCTAGTTCTTAACACATAAGAACCATCGGTCACAGTTGCTCCACGTGGTTCTCAGGACACCCTGTGAAGGGAGGTCTCGGGTTGTGAGTGGGGCTGCCTGGGTGGCAGCCAGCTCACCAGAACGTGGCCACGCTCGTCTTCAGAGTTTCGTCAGTGAGCCACCGTACTGTGCAGATGCTAGGGAGCAATCTGAACATCCGAACGTCTCGCTCCATGGTGGGCGCCTCAGGACAGAGCAGCATCCGTCGTGTCTCCATTCCCCTCAGCGCCTGGCCGAGTGTGGACATAAAACACATGGCCAGCAGTGGCTGTCCCTCGGAAGACTTGCCTGCTTCAAAAACCCAAGGCTCAGAAACTTAAAGCAAAATGAACCTCCCACCATCCACTCCTTCAACGAGTATCTGGTGAACACCCAATCTGTGCAAGCAACAGCCGAGATACAGCGGACAGACAGGGAACAAAAGAGAGCGCCTCTACCCTCACAGAACAGGTCTAGGGCATGGACCAGTCAGGAATGAATATTCGCCTCCTTAACCCCACGTGAAAATCCACTCCAGGTGAGGTTTTCAGTGCTACTACCCTTGTCAGCGCCCCAAAGGGACACAGAGGCTGCCGGGATGCCTGATAAGGAACCCTCTAACTTGGCATCTAAACGGACTCTCATAGTGGGGAAGGAGGAGTGAGCGAGGAAGTATGTTCCAGGCAGTGGGAACAGCATATGCAAAGGTCTAGAGACAACAAAAGCTTAGATGATCCTTGTAGGAAGGGAAAGTATTGTAGTTCGGTTTGACTGGAGAACATCGATTGCTGTGCTTCCAAAAGGACCTAAAGAACATCTAAAAGCAACTCTTTATAAACTACCTCCTCTGCCTCTCTCATGGGAGCCAGAGAACACAGAGAGTTATCTGAGTGACGGTTTTCTCCTGTGTCCCAAAGATGGATTACAACAAGTACCATTCTAAATTACAGGAAAGAAGTTAAATCATTACATAAGACGGATGCCTCGGGACAGGAGGGCTTGATTCTCTCCAGGAACAAGTCTGAAGAGCACAGATAGGTTATGTAACATCGACAGGAATCTCAGCTCTGTCACTCTGTGACCTTGGGCAAGTTATTGCACTTTCTTATACTTCCCAGAGGGAATAATAAACAGAACCTGCCTTAGCAGACTGATCAAAGGATTAAGTACATTAATACAATTTAAAATGCTGAGACAGT